ACCCGATAAAGCCAAGTTATTAATTAAAATATCGGACTAAAATTATTAAAACTTTATTTTTCAATTCATTCATTCATTTAGATTTCTATTATATATAAACAATGGATATATGCACATTTTCAATCTATTAACATTTTTTCATTCATTTTACATCATCCCCATAACAATCACTCCCAACAACATTATTTTAATCATATCAGGAACTCTTATTTTCATCCCATCATTTGGTTTTACTTCTTCTTCTTCTTCTCCTCCTTTATCTGTCTCTTTGTTTGAATCGGTGGTACATTTGGTAGGTTTGCACTTGCGCATCGACGTCAACGTCACTGTCGACGTCACTGTCGACGTACTCGTTGTCGTACTCGTATGCAATGACGTACTTGTCACCCATGTATCTGTCGTCTGTATCATTGTACACTCTTCTGTTACTTTTCCTCCACTTCCCTGCTTGGTTGTCGTAGTAGTAGTCGTAGTAGTCGTAGTAGTAGTTGTGGTAGTGGTCGTCGTAGTGGTCGTCGTAGTGGTTGAGATTTCTTTTTGCGTCTCTGTATGATGAGGCTTAATTTCTAATGGTTTTATTTCTTTGCATAACTTGTCTATTTCTCCGCAAACTTGAAGATCTGAACAATCCTCTTTAAAACCGCAATCTAGTTCTAAAGCATTGCATTCCTCTTTCAATTCCAAATACAGCTCCAATGCTATCGTCGTTGCATCAAATGCTTTTACTTCTGCTTCTGATACTCCTTCAGCTACATATGCTCTTTTAACGAGTCCAAGTTTTGCAGGGCCCGTCGTTCCACTGCTTGGTGTTCCTGATCCTTTATCTGGTGTGCCTGATCCTCCATCTGGTGTCCCTGATCCTCCACCTGGCATGTCCGCCTTTCCATCAGTTGATGGCCCTGATCCTGGTGGTGACCCTGATCCTGATGGCCCTGCTGGTGCTTGTTGTGGTGGTGGTACTGGTGTAGAATCACTGCCATTCTGCGCAGTTGGCATTGCGGCTTTTCCAGACTTTGATAGCAATAACTTAGCTACCTCTGTAGATTTTTCTGCCGCCTTTTTGAGATCATCGTACTCATTCTTCATCTTTGTCAACTCTTTTTTCGCATTCTCCAGTTCGTCTTTTAAAGTAGGGCATCTCTTTTTTACTTTATCAACTAATTTTTTGCAAACATTTTCCTTGGTATTATCATCACATTTACCATACAGAGTTTTGAATGCTTCATTCTTTTCCAACTCAGTGCAACGCTTTCCTAATGCTTCTTTACATTTATCATCCTTTAAACTGCCTTTCAACAGATGACTCAGCTCCTCCTCTAATTTCAACTTTTCAAAGGTTTTATTGCATTTTTCTTGGAGTGCTTCGCAGTTATGATCATTGCCATTGCCATTCTCTTTTTTTTTCAAGTCATCCGGACAATTCTCCATAAGTTGGTGACAATGTCGGCCCCATGTTGTGCAGAGTTCTTCAACCAAGGCTTCATTTTTATTTGCTTTTTTAATTTCTTCTCCAATTTTTTCTAGAATTTTTTCATTCTTGATGTTGACTTTTAAACTACTACAATCTTGACTTGTATGGAATACCATATAACTACATGTTTCTTCTGGTAAAGCACATGAAACACTAAATAAATTCTTTCTCCTCTTATATAAAGTATTACATTTCTCATGCAATACCTTTGTACAGTTTTCCTGAGTCATTAACGAATCATCCTTTTTTTCTAAAAATACTTTTCTAAATCCCTCTGTAACCTTAAAGTATTCACAGCGTCTTTTCAATGTTATACACTTTTCTAAATTCAATAATGAATCACTACTAAGTTCATCACACTTCTCCTTCAACTCAACACAATCCTTTTCTAATGGAAAATCCCTTTGATCATCCAAAAGCGCACTTAACTCTTTGGATTGGAGAAAAATATCATTTGAAAGCCCATAACATAGTTCTTTAGGATAAAGACATTTTGAAAGGTATCTTTTATCTTTTTTAAGTTTTGTACAGTTTTCTACCACATATTTTTTACAATCTTTAGGATCGCTATAAAATCTTACATGACCAAGCTTTCCCTTCAATTCCTTTTGAAAGAACTTATTCAACATCCTGTCTTGTCCCTTTTTATAGCACGCTGCTCTTGCATTTTGGCACGCTTTATCAATATTATTATCCTTACACGCATTTTCTAAATAGAAACATTCCGACTCAAGTTCTGCACACTCTCCTTTTATAAAAAAAGTTGGCAGCTGTCCCCACAATAAAAGATCTGAATCAGCTTTTTCATATCCTGTAGACAACCCTTTGAGATAAAGTTTTAATTTGAGATTTGTACATCTTTCTTTTACATTTACATCTAGTATTTTTTTGCATTCGTCCTCTTTTTTACCATCACATAACTTCATCAAATCAGTATCCAAATACTTAGAAGCACCACATTTTTCTAATGCTTTTTTGCACTTTTTATCTGTATCCGTCTGCTTCTCATCTCTGCTCAACAGTAGCAAGAGATCTTGCAGAAATTTTGTACCTGACTTCCTTGGTAGATCCACTCCTGATTTTCCAATAATAATTCCATCTTTTTCAGCTTTTTTATAGACATCATCCAACCCAATACTTCTCAACAACGACGCCCTCGGCTTCACCGGACTAGAATCAGATTCCGGCGCTTTATATATGACTCCTTCTTTCTCACATTTCGTCTTATCCTCCTCGCACTTTGTTTCAGTACACGCTTCTCCGTAAAAATGACATTTCTCAAGTCTTTCATGACAATCTTTTTCGAAATCTTTCGCCAATTTTGTTTTTAAAGCCTCGCAAACAGTATCCAATTTTGTTTTCAGCTCTCCACACGTTTTAGCAGAATCAAGGCAAAAAGACATCAATTCATCGCTTTCTCGGCTTAACACTGAGCAAACATCTTTCATCTTTTTTTCACATTCACCATTTTTAACATCCTTTCCGAGCGCCCTCAAAAGAAGATCCTCTGCCACCTTTTCACGCTTCAATTTGTAACATCCTTCCCTCAACTCGACACACTTCTCCTTAATATCTTCATGATTCGTCTCTTCTAAAAGTATACATTTTTCTTCATGTTTTTTACATTCTTCTTCATTTATCTCTACCAATGCAGTTTCAAGTTCATCTTCAAAAGTTTTCAATACTTTTTCAACTTTGGCTTTCAGGCCTGTGCATTTTTCGTTTCGTTTTGTATCATCACCAACACAAAGTCCTTTAACTTTATCATTCACTTTGAATTCAGCATCTACTTTCTTCAAATCATCGCAATATTCCTTGAGAATTTTTTTGCATTCAGCGTCATCTTTATATTTCTCCTTCAGAATGAAAGCCAAAAGGTGTTCCTCCTTAATCTCCTCTGCTGGTGCTCCTTGTGGTGCTTGCCTCTTAACCGGCCGTGCCATTGCCACCTCTTTGGAGAAATTCTCCTCAATCCATGACTGTTTCTTAGTAATAGCTAGCGTAGATAAGCAAAAGTTAGTTATGATTGTAATAATTCTGTTATAACTGCTAATAATTTTTTTGAACAGTAAATATATGATTTATAGGTAAAAACGTGAGGTAAAAATGCAGAATAAATAATGATAATTATTGCATATGGTCCTATAGTAGGTGTAGTGTCATTTGTAGTCTTAGTATTGTACCAATTTGTTGACTTTATGTTTCTTTAAAAGTTGATAAGATTTATTTTGTATTCTTAGTCGCTTTTACTGTATTTTTGATGTTTTAAATGTTTATTTTTCTTTTACCGGTTTTATTCTATTTTTTTTAACTTTGCTAATAATTCTTCGTGTTTTTCTTTCAATTGATTAGCCGATTTTCTAAAGTTCCTTTTCGTTTTTTTTTTTTTTTATTTTGTTTTAAACATAAGTTATCCAAAGCATTATTTTCTCCGTACTTTCATTGTATGTAATACTTGTTAAGTATTAAGTATAATATAAAATTATGTTGTTTAAGTTTCTTTAAAATTTATACGTTATTATATATTCTAGAGTTTTTTCACAATGATTTGAATGTTTTCCTGAATTGGAAATATATTCAATTATTTTATTTTTTACTTAAACTAGAAATCTAGAACAAATACATCGTAGCCTAGATCTTATTGATTTAGAAATTTTCTCTAACCCATCATTTTCAATTTATTTGACAATATCTAAAATGTAATGTCTTGAAGAAGGCAAAGGTGCTTGAATACATTCATATGCATCGATAGATATAATTCTTCTAACAAAACAGATAAAAAATAAATAAACTTGATCATCTTTTGATTAATTTATCACATTTTTCAACTGTTTTATATAACGTTTAAATTTTCAAATATATCATTTCCCTCTAACAAAATGTATTCAAATCCTTGATATAGCTCTTAAATATCCATATCGTTTCTTAGTATAATAAACAATGTATGTTCTGCATCTAAATTTTTATTAAGATAAAAATATCCTTTTTAGGTTAAAACATCCTGAAAAAAATCTTCTTGACCAATATATATTTTTTTAATTGTAAATATTTTATAAAAAAAATCATATTTTTTAAAATTTTATGATTTTCTATCAGTACTTATTGAGATTTTTAAATGTATTGTCATTTATCTTCAAATATTTGCTATTACGTCCTTTTCCTTTTAATAACATGAAAATTTTACACTTTCGTATAAGCAATTTGGTTAACTTATTTTAGAAACCAATTTAAATAAAATAGTTCTAATCTCGACTTTATAATGTTTAAGAGATTTTGGAAGTTCAAAATATTAGTATCTAAATTACTATTGTTTTCTTTTTTAGAAAAGCTTTTCATATAAAGTTTTCTTTTGAAAATATTATACCTTATATCTATTAGATTCTTTCATTTATTTTTATCAATATACTTGCAAAGTTTTGTATCTTAGTCACTTTATTCGATATTTTCTCGTATTTTTAATTAAAACTCCTTTATTAGAGAAATGATTTAATAATATCATTATATTTAAATTCTTCTTATGGATTTATTGGATTAAAATCAGCTTCTGAAAATTTGCAATATAATATTTACTAATTTTTTGAGATTTTCGTACCTAAATTTTTGATAATTTGGTGTTTATTTATATTTTATATTAATATATCTTTTATTTCAAAGAAAACACCCTCTATTAATTTGCTACTCTTTTTTTTTCAATGTAGGACAAATTTCACTAAGATTATTTTATTATATATGTTATTATCCTCCGAGATCTCTTTAAAAACTCTTAAAAGAACATTTTTTATGATTTTCTAACGATTTTTATAACGTTTATTCGTTAAAAAGTCATGTCCTTAAGGATGGTAGAACCTATTTTTGAAAATAAGTATTTGATTTTGTATTTAACGAAAGCAATGTTTATGTTTTTCTAATTTTAACTTCTATTTAATGTTGTATTTTTTTCCATTTTAATATTTAGATTATTGTACTTTTATTTTATAACTTTTCTTTCTAGGATCATATCTATAATTTTTTGGAATATCTTTTTAATTTTAATTTGTATTTTATATTATCACAATCATCTTCAAAAATTCAATTAAAAAAAATTTTACTGATTATCAAAGGTATTTTCTATTGTGCTTATTTTATTTTTTGTTTTTTAACTAGTTTTATTATCATTAGTATGATTTCCCTATATGAATTCTTTCACTAATAGACTATTTTGAAAATATAAACATATTTTTTTATGAATATTTTCTTTATTTTTTACATTAAGTTGGATTATTTTAGAAAAAAAATTAGATAAGAATGATTATTAAATTAAACTGGTTTTTTGATCCTTTCCAATTTAATATGTTAACTTATCGAAATATTTTAATAAAAAAATGGTTTTTATAGTGTTTGCGATAGGAATCTAGATTATAATTTTTTAAAGATTCAAATTCCTAAGATTTAATTCTGTGTCCTTAATATTTTTTGACTTTAATTCGTATAAATTTCTAATAAAATTTGTAGAAATATTTTAAAGATTAAAAGTCTTATTTTTTTTTGAATTTATATGGTAATTATGACTTTTTTGAGTGTAAAAAACTTATATATAATAGACCATACAATATTTAATATCTCATATTGAAGAAAATGGTTTCTTAGATTTATTCCTTTTTTTAAATTTTATAATATATAATAGCGCATATTGCTGACATATATTCACTTGCTGTAACTTCTGAATTAGCATTAACAATTTCTGGTGACTCTTATTTGAAAATTTGGGATGTCGATTCACATTATCACCCTCTTATTCATACGTTTAATCCATCACATAAAATTGGTGGACATAGTGTTACTATTTCAAAAAGCGGTAATGCTTTTATAGCAGCAAGCTCCGGGTTCTTGGGTGATATTATAATATGGGACCTTAAAGAATTTAAAGAAATTATACGTTTAGGGGGAAGTTTTAATGAAACTAAGCTTGGCGAAGCTTGGGCTGTTGCATTATCTCCTAATGGGAAATTGCTGGCAACTACTTCTTATAAAGGGTCTCTTAATCTTCTAGATATATCAAGTAGAGAAAATATTCTTCAACTTGAAACTAGAGGTAATTTTGGTATATGTATTGATTATGTATATTAGATTATTTTTTTTTTTTCTAATAATATTAGTCAAAAAATGGGAAATATATTGCCACTGGTCATGAGAAAGGTGGTTTATATGTGTTTAGTGTTGAAAAAGGGAAGTTATTGCATTCTTTGCAAGGTAAATTATTTGTAAATCTTTACATTAAATAACAAATAATAAGGACATATATCAACTATTAGGTCTGTTTCATTTTCACCATGTTCTACCTTTCTTGCTGCTGGTGGTGATTCAAAAGTAATTACTTTGTATGATGTACAATCAGGCGAACAAGTTGCAAACTTAACGGGACATAAAGCATGGATTTTTTCTCTCGATTGGAACATCACAGGAGAATATCTTGTTAGCGGGTAATATTTTTAAAAAAATGTTATTTAAATAACTTGAAATAGAGCAATTGATGGGACGACAAAAGTATGGGAAATAGAAAAAAAAGAATGTGTCGGAACTCAAAATCATAGTCAATGTGCAATTTGGTGTGTTAAATGGATTATAAAAGGAACGGGTGAAGGGTTTATTAGTGTTGGTGCTGACAAAGCTATTCGATGGTATAGAGTAGCTGCTGCTGAATAATGAATTTATTTGAGTAAAATCATAATGTTCTATTAAATTCTCTTATAATAGTTTAATGTATATTTTTATATTTTTAAGCTGTTTAAATCAAGAGTTATTTTTTTTTGAAAATTAAAAAAAATAAAATTAGAAATTGAAGTTATATATTATAAAAGTTAAATTTTTGAGAACTTAATTGAAGATTTTTGGATTTAATTAAATAATAGCTTATTTATATAGATGATTTTTCCCAAATGTCATTTACTTATTTTTTTTTAATGATATTGCATTATCTTTGATATATATATATATATTACTTTTATAAATTCATTTAATTAATAAAGTATAATTATCTGAATCATCTTTAACAATAATGATTCTAATTTTGAAACTATGATAGCGCTTCAAATCCGTTATGGATACTGGCAATATTAATAATTAGATAAAAGTTAAGATGTAGCAATATTTTTTTGTTTATATTAATATTATTAGAAAATATTATGTAGAATACCAATAAATTATTCTTAAATAAAATGTTAAAAACTCTTTTATAATTCATAGAAAATAAGAAAAATATTATTTTCAAGATATCTTTTTCTATTCCAATTTTTCTATTTCGTTATTATTGTTATTGAAATTTGTCATATAAAAGGTAATTTTATGAAACTTAGTTTGATAAGTTTGTAGACTAATTAGAATGATGAACATAATACTGAAAATGTAAAAGTTTCATATTTTTTTCATACTTTATAAGAGATTTTTTTGAAAATGATCAATATATATTTTACACGTCATATCAAAAAAATCTGTGGTTATATATATGTTATTTAAAAGTTGTCTTAGTAATAAATTTTATAAATATATTTTATGTTTAATTATAAATATTTCTATTACAAAAACAAATTATTCCTTAAAGCTTATGAATATAATATAAAACTATCAGTTAAAATTTATATTTAGAATTTTTATATCTAATTTCTAAATACTAGTCTATAGAAATAATTACTACAGATATTTTATATAATGTTTATAATAAATTTAAAGCAATCATGCATTGTAAATTACTATAAAAATATTATGAGAAATTGTTTTATAATTTCAGATTTTTACGTCCTTAATACAGAAATGTAGGGTTAAATATAAATTTATGAAACATGTCAACTATTTTATATAATTTTTCATAGTTTCTTCTTTTTAATTTTAAATAAAAAATGGTTTACACATTCTTTAGAAAACTTTATTTTTATTATTTTTGTATCAATCGTTAACAATTTTTTAAGCTATAAAGAAATATACGAAAAAATATGCTTTAAGAAATTCAAAATTTAGTCCTTAATTTTCATAAGTTCGATTAATTTTTCCAAAAAGTTGAATTTCATTAAAAATAATAAAATGACGCTATTAACTATTAACTGCCCAACTTCGAAAAATGGGCCAAGTTTATATGATAGTCAATGTAGAATTCAGAATTCATCTGTATCAAAATCTTATCAAGATAATTGTTCATCGGTTTCATCAGACACAAGTGAATCTTTACCTGATGCTCCAAAGAAAAAATCATCAATTACAGCAGTATGTAAATGGGATAGATGCTTTAAGAATCAGGGGAATCTTGAGAATCTTGTAAATCATTTGTATTATGGTAATATTTGTTTAATAGTTGTATTTTTGTTTATTATGTAGTTCATATAGGAAATGCAAAAGCTACATATGTTTGTGAATGGGATCATTGTTCACAAAAAAGGATAATACCAATGTCACGTTTTGCACTTTTTGTACATCTTAGGTCTCATATAGGGGAAAAACCTTTTTTTTGTAGAGTACCAGGTACAGTAAAGTTGAATAAACACATATTTTTAAATATTTAGAATGTCAGAGATTGTTTGCTCGTTTTGATAATCTTGAAAATCATATGAAAATTGTGCATGATTTAGATTTTACCACTTCATCTACTCTGAGCTCACATATTCAAAATCCTTATTCGGAAACTCATTTTATATCTAATAAACATGTTCAAAATTTTCATTTAAAAGATGAAACTAAAAACTTTTGCAATAAGGAATTTACTGAAAATAATCAAGATGAATCGACCGATTTTTTAGAGGAGGAATCCATGTTGTCTTTTTATGATCTTTCAAAACTTTTAAAACAAAAATTGCATTGGATAAAAGAAGAAAATCAGAGATTAAAAACTGGATTGCATAGGGCACAGAAAAAATGCAAAAGATATTATATTCAAAAAGAAGGGGCTTTTGAGAAGTTGCTTATTAGATCGTTAGGGAAAAGCAATGCTGCTTCTATAATTAGATAATTTCAAGTATTTAATATATTTTTTGATAATGTCTAGTTTCATTAATTATAAATATTTAATATAAAATATGAAAATTGGGTTATTTTAATACATAATGGCGGTAATAATTCATATCTAGTATTTTAAATAGGATTTAAAACACAGATTGGAAAAATAATTATATTTTGAAATACGGATTTGTTCTATTTTTTTGTATTTACTCATGTGTCTTTTAATAATATTTTTATGTCATTCTTGATTTTATATCAATTTTTTATTATTATTTGCAATCATAATAAATGTTTTATATTTTGTTCTCACATGTTTTTAGTTTTTGTATAAATTAGTTTTAAATATTCCTATTAATTATTTAAATGATAATATTAAAATTTATTATTTTATGTATTAATTAGAAGCTAATGATATTTTATTTAAAAAAATTTATATTTTAATATTATATATTATTTTTTGAAAATTGATAAATTATAGATGTTTAAATTTCTACGAATATTCTATATTGTATGATATAGATAAAAGTATAATCTTCTGTATTATTATAAAAAAGATACTATTTGGAATAAAAGATATAATAATTTTTCCCTTAGAAATAATTGTTTATATTTAAGATGTTTAAGGCGCCATTACTTAGTATTATATTGTTAAAGTGTTTAATCAGTTATTCTTAATGCTATTATTATGATAATATTTTTAAATGTGATTGTTGTTAAGATCAGCTATTTAAAAAATAGATTATGTGTAATTTTTATAAAATCTAAAATTCTTATTTATATTTTTATTAAAATTATAGTTTATATATTAATAGGTGCTTAATAGATCTATTTAGATATGTATAAAATTTTAATAATTTGTCTGAATTAAATAATATTTTTAATTTAAAAACATATATATATATATTATTTTCCTTTATAAAATTAGGTTCGTGTTGTTTAGGAATTTTGGATTTTCTATAATTTTATGAATTTTTAAAAATCTTTTAAACTGTTGTTTCAAGGATAAATTCTTATAGCCATTTACAATAATACTTTTTATATTTAAGTATTTATAAGGCTTAGTTTAACGTTTTTAAAAACAAAAAAATATGAAATATTTGTCGATAACTGTAAATAATTTGTTTTTAATTTTTATTATTTTGAAATTATCATTGATAAAAAACATTTATAAAGTCTAAGAAAAAAATCTGAGATTATATTAATAAGAATGAATAATATATATAATTCCAAAAAACCATTGTACATGATTCTATCTGGTTTTTTTCTTAAGGGAAGATATAAAATAGAATTAATGTTTTTTAAAAGAGGTTTTAAACATAAGTTTAAATTTAAAAAATGAAATTATAATTCATATCTTACGAGTATTAGATTATAGAATAATTCAATCACAAAAGAGATCTCTGAAAGATTTTAGAGCTATAGGACCTCGTTTTGAACAAACTGATTTTGATTTACAGGTATATAAAAATTATCTATTTATTTTATTACGCTGACTTTATTAATAGCCTCGGCCAGATTCTGCAATTAAGTTAATTGAAAATACTCCTATTAGATTTTCAAAACAAAGTGTTGTATCATGTAATGGTGGTATGGTTTTATATGTTTGTTAAAAAAATATTTATATATATAAAAGGTGACGGGTCTCTTGGTCATCCTAAAATATATATTAATTTAAATAAAAACGAACCTGTCTCGTGTGGATATTGTATGAAACTTGTCAAAAATATGTATAATTTCTAATTTATATAGGTGGAATACGCTTTCAAAAAGTTTTATAACTATAAATATATACTATTTAAATATTTTGAATATTATATTTAATATATATGTTCAAAATAAGATAATGTCTATATTACTAGATTCATATTTCTATATATAATTTTATAACTTCAAAAAAGTTAAGGTTTTCTATATTCTTTTCATGATAATTATAAAAATCTGTTTGGAATCTTAAGGTGCTTATAAATACTAATATGTTTTTAAAATGTGTTTTATTTTATCCCTTTATAGTTTATTTTTATAATATTTTTCAAGATATTTGAAATTCCTGAAAATTTGAAAATATTCGTATTGGGCATATTTTAATACTTATATTTGTTTAATTTTAAATAAGCTTGAATAATATTATTAAATTGAAATTCTTTTAACTCGATTTTTAGTTTTTTGTATTTAGAATTATAGATTTTGTATTTATAAACTTTTAACAAATATTTTTACTCTTAAATTTTAAATCAATAGATTTTTTTTCAATAAACAAACAGAAAAGAAATTTAAATATATTAATAGAATCGCTTGTCTGAATCGTCTTTTGCTAAATGTTTTAAAGTATTAAATATTATATTAAATCATTATTAGTAGAAAATAGCTGTTAACTATGTAATTTAGTATCACTAAAATTATACTATTCTAAATAACATATATTTTTTTAAAAACAGTTTTTATAGCTCACATATATCAATATTAATATATATTCTTTTTTTTATTAATATTTCTTTTAGATAAAGTTTTTGTATTTTTTTAAGTAAAAGTGCTAGATTATAAGTCTTTATAAACTTTCCAATCCCAATAACTTTAACTCTATTTTACTCATTAATAGATTTTAATCTATTTAAATAAATTATATTTATATTTTTATATTCTATATTTTGTTTTATATTTTATATCCTTTTTTCAACATTAGGATATTTTTTGAAAAAATACCTCAATGTATTTGATTTTTTGTAAATATTTTTTATAATAATTTTTATTTATTTTCAGATATTTTACTTAAAATTCTCATTTTTTACATGTTTGATTATTCAAATTAATTTTAAGAATTCTAATCGATAAAATAAAGCATTTAGGAAAATCACTAAATTATTTAAAGCATTTTCTAGAGCTTTTATTTAAAAATATAGTTGTTATCAAGAATTTTTATTTTCCTAGAATTTTATTTAAATATAAATTTGGAGCTTGAATATTTAGAAAACTTATGAACCTTAATTTCAATTTCAATTACATTATATTCTATACGACTAATCGACCCAAGTTATAGCCAATAATTAAAAATTAATTTGTTTACTTTGCTATAATTCTACACTTTGACAATTTTTTTCTAATTACATTAATATAATTTTCTGAGATTTTCACTATTTTTAATAAGTTTCATATTATCTTTGCAAATTTTATTTTTATCAGTTTTTTTTCAATTTTTTACATTTTTTATAATTTGTCTTATTAGCTTCCTAATAGTTTTAATATGCTTTGATTCTTTAGGTTTAATATAATCCATACTCTTTTATTGTTATTTTTTCCCAGGATTTCTATTTATAGAAGATCGCTCTGCAAAAAACATGATGTGTTATCATAGTAAAATAATATTTAAAAAATCTTCGAATCTTTAAAGATTAATTTTTAACTTTTAAATTTTTTTTTATAGTTTATTGTTTTCATGTTTTTCTTTTTTTGAAAAAAAGATGCTAAGTATGGAATATTGTTTTATTTATTCTTTAAATAATATTCTTACTAAGAAGCATAAACATTTTATATAGTCCAGCTGCAAAAATATTTCATGATTTTCTTAATTCTAATATTTGAATTTTAATCTATTTTTTCAGTTTATATGTTCAAATGTAGTTTAGTTTAAAATTAAGTAATATTAATTCGTATTAAAAAAATCTTTTAAAATTAGATTTTTGTTAAATTATATTTCAAAAACTCTTTTGATATTCTATAAATTCTTAACAATTTTATTAAAAAAGTACAATTTAGAACTAAAGTTTGATAAGGGTAGGGTTAAAAATTTAAGAAATTTTACATTCCAGGGTCTAAACGAAAAATTGTAGGATTCTGAAAAGAAAAAAATTTAAAGTCAGGGAAATATGACAAATCAGTGGTCTGACTATGAAAGAGATCCTTCGCGCAATGGTATGGCATTGGGTAATTGATAATTGCAAATAGCTTATAAGGAATTAGAAGATCATCCCCATCGTGGCGCAGAAGGAGGCTATGATCGTACGGAACGAGAAACTAATTTTGATAAGCAGGACATGTCGCGATCTCGTTCTCCAGGTGGTCGGGCACCTCGGTAATATAATTTCGTTTCTTTAGTGCGGCATTCTTATTTCTTAAAAGCATTGAAGAAGACACTGCTGCTGAAAATCCAGGAACTAATTTATTCATATCTGGTATTGCACCTCGTATGGATGAAAAAGAGCTCGAGGAGATCTTTTCTCGCCTAGGGAATGTTGTTAAATGTAGCATTGTCTCTGATCCTTACACAAAAGAATCTAGAGGGTTTGGTTTTGTTACTATGGCTACACCTGAGGATGCAGATAAAGCTATTGAGGCAGCGAATGGTCAAGAGTATTATGGAAGAGTTTTTAGGTAGTTATTATTTATTTCTTTATCTATAACTTTTTAAACATTATTTAGTGTAGAAAAAGCCCGTAGAGGTGGTCCTCGTATGTTCTTTTTTTTTTTTTGGTGTTGGAATATTTAATTATTATTAGGAACATCGACTCCGGGTACTTATATGGGGCCTCGTAGGCGCGGTATGTTTTGAATTAGAGTAGTTAGGTGCTTATCTAATTAAACATAGATAATTATGCTTCTCGTCGTTCAGATCCATATGGTCGAGACTATTATAGAGATCGTCGCAGTGATCGTTACGGTGATCGTTATGGTGATCGTTACGGCGATCGTTACGGCGATCGTTATGGTGATCGTTACGGTGATCGTTATGATGATCGTCGTGGACCACGTAGTCAAAGTTACAGTGATAGATACTCTTCACGTCATGATCGTCGTGAATCCTATGATTTCCGTCGTGAACGGTATGATGATAGAGGGCATGATAGAGATTTTCGTCGTGAAAGAGAATATCGTTAAATGTGACGTAATCAGCATGTAGTTATAAATTCTTGGCAATATTTAAGGATATAATTATTTTTCTGTAAATGAAAGCTCGACTTAGAAATGTTTTTTTCGAAGAATTAAGATTAAAGAGTTTCAGACATATCAAAGATTCTTTAATTTTGGTTTTATGCAAAAATATTATTATATTCAAATTTATTTCATTTTCGAATTTTTTTTCTTTTGTCGAATATTACAATTAAAACAACTCCTTATTAATCAACATAATTGTTGTCTTCAAAGCATTATATATCATATTATATTTCGCCCATAAATTATTATGTTTAGACGCTTATACAGTATTCATTTCTGTAAAGATTTATTTTTGTTTATATTTGCCTCGTATGGAGTTTTATTTTTACACCCATTTAGACATCTCGGTTGCATATTTATTAAAATTGTATATTCTGGAAGCTTTCAAAACCCTAAATATTTGGTTTGGTTCTATTGTGAAAATAAAACATGTTAATATTATTTTTTTTTTCTTGTATTTTATAGTTCTATCTAAATTTTAGAAAATAGTATTCGATTTAGTAAAGATGTTTTTACGAATTAGGCTTTTTAGTTGCAGTTGAAATATTATTCATTTTTATGTTAATTTAAATAGTTTTTAAGAAAAAGTGGATATTTATTTATTTATTTAATCATATACTTTACTATTAAAATATTAGTTTTTTCCAAGTGAAATAAAATTTATGTTATTTAAAAAAAAAAACATGGTTAATATTTATTATATAGTACGAAGAAATTATGTGAATAACTTTTCGTTTTTATATTAGTGATAAACTTCTATCTTTTATTGAATAAGTTTCAGAAGATTTAGCTTTCAAGGGCATTTTAAAATCAATCTAATAAAATATTAAGAATTTTATTAGATTTTTAGTTTTAAAAAAATTGTGATTGTTTATTACTTTTGAATAATTTAATAATATAATTGAACATCTTTCAAAAATTTGCAAAAATCATATTAGATAATTTCGTTAATTACAATGTATATAGAAATTAATTTAACTTTTTTTATAAGTATAGTTTTAAATACTTAAATTCTTTAAATAAATTACGATTTTTTTAGTAATACGTAATATTTCTATAAATACATCAAAATATGATTTTTAATTATTTTAATAAACGATCTTTATACTTATATTTGGATCTTATGAATTAATTAAATTCTGTATATAAAAATCTATTTAAAAATAATTTTTATTTTTAAAATCCTGTTTAAAAAAACAACACTAAGAACCTTAATGTATGAATTTTTCAAGGTAATATTCTTAAATACATTCCTATATAAACAAGACCAAATAAAAAACAAAACATATATATATTAAAAATATATAGTGCATGAAGATAGTTTAAAAATTCATTTAAAATTATGTTGTAATGTTGAAATTAGGAAATTCACGTATATTTGTATCAAGATTTCCATGTCTAGAGAGAAATTTAACATAGCAACCATCCTGTTTAACTTCTCCATTTTTACATTTTTCGATATATGTTTCACGATCCAAAGGAGTAAAGCCCCAGTTTTTGCTAACAATAATTTTTTGTCTACCCGGAAACTTATATTGACATCGACGAAGAGCTTCAATGGCAACATGTTTATTGGAATCTTTGCATCGAACAGAAAAGAGAATTTGCCCAATATTTACACGAGCAACAGTCCCGTTAGGTTTTCCCCAAGCACCACGCATTCCTGTTTGCAGGCGATCTGCGCCAGCACATGATAACATTTTATTAATACGAACAACATGGAAAGGATGAGGTCGTACACGCAAATGAAACGCCTCTTTTCCTGCATTTTTTGTCAAATATTTGTTTGCACAAATTCGTGCTGCCTCTAGTGCTTCACTACTAAGTTGTTCATATTCGCCGCTTACTAAATGAACACATAAAGGAAACTCATTAACAGATGCTTTTTTTCGTCCTAGATCAAAAATTTTTATCTTTGGATCCGGAACCCCTCTATTAAACCTAGATTTTGGGAACGGCTTGTTTTTGCAATACCTATAACATCTAGCTGGTCGTCGTGCCATTTGTTTTTTATCTTAGTATAATTCAATACATCGATTAAACTAAAGTCACAGACTAACCTAACCCTGACCACTCCAAAGTTTTAATTTTTAGTACATTGATTTAAAATAGGTTTTGTGTTTAAAAAAATGTATCAATAATGTTAACTTTTTTTATAACTTAATATATATATATACATATATATATATAGCGTAATATTTTTGTGTAAAGTTATTCTGTAAGATTTATACATGTATCCTTTTGACAATTCTATTTTTACAAATGTATTGAAAATACATTTGTAAAAGTATATTTTAGTATATTAAATGGTAATTATTGAATTATATTTTAATAAGAATTTTAAATATATAAATAATTTGAAATATTATTAAGTTTAGTATTTTAAGTGCTATTTTGATATAGTTTTTAAATTAACAATTATTATATTATATAGCAATTGATTGGATATTATATTTTTAAAAAATGGAGTTTTAAAAATTCATATTTACGAATATATATATTTAAAACAATATATTTTTTAAATATATCTGCGTGCATTGTTATGACCTATCTTTAAAAAAACGCAATATTTTATTTATATTTTAAAATATGTATAATTATAAAAAAAATTATATATATTTATATATCGCGAGCAGAAATCATATTCAATAAAATTGTAAATATTGGTAACAAAAAATCATAGAATATAATGAGTGATACCGGAGGGATACATAATTTAGAAGGAACGTCTTTGCCAGCATTTATTACCTCATTGTCTGTAAATTTTGTTATGTTTACGATTCAGGTAGCTGGATTCTTTATATTACGTAATTTCTTACATCGTGTATATGAACCTCGAAGTGTTTGATAAATTTTCTTTACTTTTTTCTGTTCATCTTATATGAATAGGTTATTAAGATCCTTCCAAGTGAAAAAAAAGTTCGGTCTCCACCTAGATCTTTTTTAAAGCTATTTCGACTTCTTTATCAAACTCGTCCAGAACATATTATTAAAAAATCTGGTTTAGATGCATATTTTTTTCTTAGATTCCTTAGGATGTGCATTATTCTTTTTACTTTTTCTTTATTAGTAATTTGGCCTATTTTGCTTCCAATTAATTCAGTTGATGGAATTGACAAGACTTATAATAGAAAACCTCGAGGATTGGATAAATTTAGTTTTGGAAATATTAGTCCTAAACATATAAATAAGTATTGGGCTCATCTTGTGCTTGCGTATCTTTTTGTTTGTCTGTTTTTTTTATTATTTATTTAGACTTAACTGTATAGGTGTAACTTGTTATTTGATATATTACGAATTAAAGCACTTTATTCAGATTAGACAGGCATATTTGTCTTCTCCTCAACATCGTAATACTACTTCTGCAACAACAGTTCTTATAACGACAGTACCAGATGAATATCTTGATGTAGGAAAATTGAAAGAACTTTTTAGTATATACCCTGGCGGGGTTAAGAATGTTTGGATAAACAGGTAATTGTTTTCTTTTTTATTCATTTCTTATGTTTTTAGAGATTTTTCTCCATTGTTAGAGCAAATTGAGAAAAGGGATATTATTTCCCAACAATTAGAAGAGGCAGAGACATGTCTAATACGAAATGCTTTGAAATCTAGTAAAAAAAAAAAAATTGAAAAAGAAATGAAAAAGTCGAATTATGAAAGTGTTCAATACGTAGATAGTATAGAACATAGCAAAGGTTTAGTATATAAATATGTGTCGTACAAAAAACGACCTAAACATAGGCTTCCTTTGTTTTCATGGTTTATATCTCTTCCTCTTATTGGGAAAAAAGTTGACACAATCAATTGGTGTATTTCGGAATTAAAAAAACTTAACCCTGAAATATTAGAACAACAAAAACATCCTGAGAAGTTCAAACAAATGAATAGCGTTTTTATTCAATTTAATGAACAGATATCTGCTCATTTAGCTTGTCAAAATATTTTACATCATAATGCACTTCATATGACTCCAAAATATCTTCATATATCTCCAAGGGATATTATATGGGATAATTTACAACTAAAGTGGTGGGATCGTCTTATACGGGCAATAATAGTTGTAATATGCATAGCTTCTCTTGTTATTTTTTTTGCTTTTCCAGTAGCGTTTGTCGGATCATTATCAAACGTAATAAGTTTAAGTAAAAAGTTTTCATGGCTGGAGTTTCTTGGGGATCTTTCTAAATCAGTAACTGGGCTTATAACGGGTTTATTACCAAGTGTACTTTTGGCCATTATAATGGCGTCTGTTCCAATAATTATGAGATGTATATTTAGTTTTATTTAAAAAATAATACTAATGATTAAACAGTTGCTGCTGAACTTAAAGGTCTTCCGACTCAGACAGATGTTGAATTAACTGTTCAAAATATGTATTTTTCATTTCTTGTTGTTCAAGTTTTTCTTGTTGTTACCATTTCATCAGGAATTACTGCAGTAATAGCAAGTATTATAAATAATCCTCAAAATACACCCAAACTTTTGGCGCAAAATTTACCAAGAGCAAGTAATTTTTTCTTTTCTTATATCCTTTTACAAGGCTTATCAATTGCATCTGGTGAATTATTACAGATAATTACACTGATTCTATATTATAGTTTTGGAAAATTAATGGATAATACACCAAGGAAACTTTGGTCTCGATTTACTACACTTAGAGTTTTAGAATGGGGAACAACTTTCCCAAGATTTACTAATCTTTCTGTTATTGGAATAACATATTCTATTATCGCGCCTTTAATAATGGTATTTGTAATTATTGCTTTTATGCTTTTTTATGTTGTATATCTTTATAATTTTCTATATGTTTTCGATTTTCCTGTCGACACAGGTGGTTTAGCATTTCCTAGATCGTTATATCAGATGATGACAGGAATATATCTTCTGGAAGCATGTCTTACTGGTCTTTTTTTTCTGGCACGTGATGATCAGAATCATTTTGCAACTAAAGCTCAAGGAATTCTTATGATTATTCTGATAATTTTTACTGTTTTTTATCAACTCCTTCTTCAGAAAAGCTTTGATCCATTGATAAAATTTTTACCTCTGACTTCACAAGATCAAAATAGTAATCAAGATTATATTCATAAATTGTTTGATTTATATAATTCTAATTACGAAGATATCGATTATGAGTCTTCAATACAAGATGTGATATCTGATGGATCTAAAAGTCCTAGTAATTATGTAGATTTTAATACAAATTGCGAAAATTTATCCATTCAAGAACGAGAAAGTATTATTTTTTCTTCATTTCAACATAAAGCTTTACAAACAAAGACTCCGATAATATGGCTACCACAGGATGAGCTAGGAATAGCAAAAGATGAAATAGAACGAATGCCAAGTGAAATATTAGTAAGCATGGAATTTGCAAAAATAGATAATAAGGGAAAATTAACTTTTCAATCAAATCCACCAGATTGGGATCCTTATAGTAATTTAGCATTATAAATTTTATTAGTTTATTTTAAATATGAATTGATATGATAAGATTACTAGTAAATTTAGAAAATTTGAATTTTTACGTTTTAAAAATTTCGGTAATTAGTTAATGTAATTTCAATATTAAAAATACTTTTACATTGTCATATTATCATTATTTTGAGACAAAAACACGGATATTGATATTTTTATACAGTTTATGATTTTAAACCATTTTTAAGGTGAAATAATGCAAATTTCCTTCTTCTCGATTTCATTTTCTATTATAGATTAAGATAAAATTTAATTTTATATATATTAATATGAATATAAATACCTTTATATTTAATTTTATTTTTTTTCTGGCCAGTTTTTCAGGATTTGACACGGAAAGAATAGACCTTTTTAATTTTCTATCTTGTCTAATTTTTAATGACTCTTGCCTAATATTATTAAATATTTGGATATATAAAGTTGTCCCTATTTTAGAATGTAATTCGTTCAACACTTTTTCAGAAATGTGTTTCAAATCTTAAAACTATTAAAAAAATGTGGTTATAAAGGGTAAAATAAATACCTTTTTGAGTTTTGGCCATTGCGACTTTATTATCTGTATACTTATATAAAGGACTAATAATTATATTTGCAAGACTTTTTAAGTCATTTATGGAAAGAAAATTAATAAGTGCTCTTATTAATTCCATTATTTGATGTTTGGAAATTATAACTGACTGCTATATTTAATAATAAATTGAAAAATATATATTTAACAAACCTCTGAATTTATATTCTTCTCGTTTTTTAGGATTATACAAAGCCTAAATATTAACCATTCAAGACAACTTAAAGATTCTATGTTTTTTAATTCCATAAATTTTTCCAATTTTGGATGTATGTATAATGAACTATCAAAGTCTGAAATTTTAGCATTAGTTAGATAATAAAACCGTGCAATAAATAATAAATTTTTAGAAAACCGAAAACTTAATTCCTTATTTAACTCAGAATTATGAAACTTATGTAAAAGAGTATTTGAAATCATATTTAAATCATCTTGAGTAAATGATAGTCCATATGGTGATATTAAAGGCATTTTTTTTGGAACTGATTTACAAAAAGAAAACGATTTTTCTATTATCTCCGCCGAAATAAGGCTAATTTTATGATTTTGATATGTTAATAAATGTATAAAAAGCTTCCAAAGAGTTGATCGTTCTGATGACATAATTATCTCCGGGACAAATTTTATTAGATTAAACATTGTAAGCATAATTTGATAAATAAGTTCGTAATCCTTTGAATTTTCAGAAATAATATTTTCATTTAAAATACTTTGAGCTTTTTCAAGAAAGTAATAAATTTCTTCCGGTTTTGTTTTTTGTAATGCTTGAAACAAAAGGTTATAACCTTGAATGGCTGCAATTCTTAAGGATTTTTTTTCTGTTTCATCTAACCATGTTTTTAAAGATCCTGTTATAAATTTTAGAATAAAACTATTAGAACGCTTAAAAATTTTTTGCAAAAGAATACTGGACATAGTCCTAGACTGCCTATCACTATCATTTGCAATTACCATCATTAACGCAATAAAAAAGAGTTCTAAAAATTCTTCTATTACAGAATCTTCAAAATTACTTATAATTAAATTCATAGTTTCAATAATAGATTGGCGACCAGATGCATGTTCATACTCTAGATTCCTAACTAGAAAACTTATTTGTTTTTTTAATCGACTTTTTCCTTGAGGATAATCGAGTAAAAATTGATAATATATTCCTCTAGCCATATTCCTAGTTACTTTTGACTGACTTGTTACCAAAATGTTTGAAATAGAATCAATTAAATCGTATAACTCTGGAAAAATATATTTTCTGGACATTATCGCTTTAATAATAGAAAATGTAACATCCTGTCTATCGGGCTCCTCTATGTCAAGTTTTATTTTTGTAATGATATACGCAAGCCATCCTTCTTTAATTTCGATGTTTTTATTGCTTTTGAAAACATGTGTTAAAAATTTTAAACTTGTTTGGCATAATTCGGTGTTAGTAGATGCAGATAATTTTATGAAAGAAAATGCCTGATTAACAAAAACATTTAACGATGAATTAACTTGTTCTATATCAAGTTTTAGGAAAATAATAAATGTATTTAATGCAGAGATGTGAACATCTTCATTCCCTGATAAAACCATGTCTCCAATTATTGGAATAAAAGGTATTAAATTTTCAGGAGAAATTAAAGACCTATCTTTCGACAAAATTCCTTTTAGAAGATCTAATGAAAATTTAATAATTTTGTATGAATTTTTTGAAAAGTTATTTTTTGTCTTTTTTATAGATAAATTAAGTTCTGGCGCGAATTGCTCTTTGTCTGTTTCCTTATTATTTTCAGTTTTAAAACCCTTCATTCCTTTTTGAAATAAATTATAACATAAACGCAAACCATCATGAGTATAACATAATGAATTTTTAAGTATCCCAAGATTTACTCTTTTAAATACTATATCCACACTTTTTAAGATCTCTAAAGTTAACTCTTTATGGAGAAGCCTAAAAATAGGTTTTAAAAGAATACTAAGATATTCTAAATTTATGATACTAGATAAAATCTCAAAAGAATCGTAACTTTTATTGGTTTTTACTTCCTTCATTGATGATATATATTCTTCTGACTTTTTTTCCATTCCAACGTTACCAAAAATATCATTTACTAAAATTTCTGCAATTATATCTGTACAATTGTTTATAGAACCAATAAGGGAATTTTCCTGTAAACGATACAATAATGTGTGCATTGTAAATCCGAGAACATGAAGTTGGTAGCCATGTTTAAGTGTATTTTTTAACTCTATAAGGATGGGCAATAAATAATGAGGGCCAAGCAAACCTATAATATCCGACAAAATTTTTCGAGCTATATCTCTATGATCCTGTGATCGACTTTGCAAAATTTTACAGATCTCTGAAAGAACTAATAATAAATTTGACAATAAATCGTTATGATTCAAACACTTTGAAAGTTTTGTAATAGTCAATGCTATTGGAACTCTTGAGGCTATAGTAGATATATCTATTTTGCGAAGAATTTGGACTAATGGAGGAATAAATTCTGAACATATAATATCTTTTAAAGGTATATCATCAGTGATTGAATCCTTTAAGCGAAAACATGTATTATTGTTGTTTAATTGAGCTTTAAGTCCATTTTCTATAAAAATTTCTGCTGAATCCCCTGTTTTAATATTCTTTTCTGAATTCAATAGAGAAAATTTGCAAGAATGAAATAAAGCATCTGCGATAGAATCAATTATGCGTATTGTTATCTTTAAGTCATTATCATTATTTTTTAATTTTTTTATATACCGCCTAAACAAAGTATAATATTGATTCCAATGAATACAAGAAGAAATAATTCCAATACTTTTAATTGCCTCAGAAACAAGATTATGATATTGCTTTGATGAATAAATACACAAACTTTCTGTTAAAGGTAAAAATATCTGTGAAATATTGTTTTTATTTATTTTTCCCTCAGAAGATGCAATACAAAGTCGTCTTAGAGCACGAATACGGCGATGCTGTTGAACATGAAGGATATTATTAAAAAAATTTGCTTCTTCATCATCACCAACTAGCAAAATTTGAAGATCAGAAACTTTTACCCAAAAATTGCAAAATTTAGCAACATGTGCTAAAATACTTAAATATTCTTGTCGTACAAGATCTTTATTTAATTTCATTTCTCTTTTTAATGCTTTTAAAATTGAAGAAGAAAGAAGTTTTAAATATGCTTCTCTTTCAGTAATAGAAATGTCCTTGAATCTTTCAATAAATTTCTTCATTGTATATGATGCATTTATCCTTATGGAAAATTCCTCTTCGTCCTGAATAAAAAAAATCATATTATGAATAAGTAAAGCCCAACTATCTATATTAAATTCTTTCCATTTATAGTCATTTATTATAGTAAAAGCCGATAATATTCTATTGAAATCTGGCTGATCCAATTTAGTAGAAGATAATGAATTTAAATCCAATATAAGGTTTGAAACATCTGTTAGTTCAGGATTAATTTTAGAAAACATGTTTATTAAATTGGATAAAGTAATTCGTGTATTCCTATTTTTTAATGTTCCGAACATTGGTATAAGAGTTTCAAAAACATAATGGAAAAAATTATAATCAGTATGTATTTTTTGACTTAAAGGTAAAAGGTTTTGTATTGTTTCGAAAATATTATTTTTTGTAAATTCTGAAATAAATTTCGAAAATTTTGAAATTATAGATATATTTGTTTCTAAAAGAATATCAACCTGAGATGATCCATTTACCAATAGTGAAATCAATGAAAGTAAATCAATTAGAGGTTGATAAATATTTTTAGTCCATTTACGTTGTGGATCGATTAATAGACCGTATAAAGCATTTAGTATAATAGATATGTGTTTCAAAAAAAATTCTTTTGAAGAATATTGTTTGCCATTTTCTGGAATTTCATTTAGCATATTTGCATGTAAAATCATTTTTCTATAAAAGTCGAATATAAATAATACAACATCTTCTTTAATAGAATACGAAGATAAACATTTTGTGATTTCCAAAACTATTTCCTCATTATAATCATAAAGGAAATGTACCATATTTGCATTTTCTGACCAAGTAGAAAAAATTTTTAAAAGTCCAGAAGGTGCCTGTAAACTATCGATACATATGTTTTTGAGTCTAGGATTGATAAATTTTACAAAAAGAAGAGCCATATAAGGCTTCCATTCATGGCTAAATCCTAAAGAAAACATCTTGTTAAGATTTTGATAACATATATGTCTAATAGTTTTTGCGTATTTTAGGCAAATATTTTCATTTTTGCCCTTCATACTGGAAAATGATTCTATAATAGATTCGGAATCATTCCAACAGTAAAAATGAACATTTAATATATCTGATAAATAAAGCATTATTTTTGATCCTATTTGCTTTAGAACTTCTTTAAGAACCCTACAAAATCCTATTTGCTTTTTTTGCTCAATAGATTCTTGAATATCTTTTAGTTTATATACACTGGAATTCGACTTGTCAATGCACGTTATCTTACTAAATGGCTCTATCATAATGTTCAGAAATATTTTAAAAATTTCCGAAGGAAAAATAGTAAGAGATGATAAAATAATTTCTCGTTTAGTTGAAAGCGAGTGTTTTCTTGAGGATGAATTTGATCGTGATATCATTCTGCCATAAAGTATTCTTAAAACAATTAGAAACAGCTGTTGATTTTCAAAATCATACAAGCTGTTCTCTTGCATAATATTTGCTAATTCATCACGAAATGCTGTAGTATCTAATAAATTTCTTAAGTTATTTTCATAATGAAGCACTTTTGGAGATTTCCATGATAATATACAATTTAGAGCAAGATTTTGAATTTTAATATCGCCTTGACTTAGAAGAAGTAATTGAGCATCATATATATCTTTTGACTTGAATAAAGACTTTGGATTTTTAAATTTGCTAAAAATAGTTATAAGGTTTGATTTATCAATTTGTGACCAGTTAAAATCTAATAAATCCATACTTTCTATATTTCTATCTTGTGAAAAAATAGAAAGGAAAATAGGAACTAGATCTCTTGAATGTTCCTCAGCAAGGTTTGGAATTTCTAGTAAAATTTTAAGAGCATGAGATCTATATTCAGTTGAACCATTATTTTTATCTAAATCATCCTAAAAAAATCTAAGCTATAATTTTAGAATATTATAAATATAATATATACCTTATCGTTTATTTTTTTCCAATCCAATAATATTTCCTCATCAGTATTTTGTTCTATTTGTAAAGAGTCTAAATTAACGTCTGTTTTAAAACATCGAAATACATAATCTTTATTTTTTTCTCGATGTCTTTTATTTAACACAAATTCTGTTTTCTTAATATTCCCTAATTTTATCCAGTCAAATATATATTTCCAAATAAAATTATAATTTTTATTATATAAAGATGCAAGAACCGAAGAACAGTCCTTAGATATTGAAGAAAAATTAACTGTCATCAAACCTATCTTAGGTGTAAATGATAAATATCATTAAAGATGGGGAAGTACCAATAAGAAAAATAATTGTAATTTTTTGAGACATATTTTGGGCTTGAGAAAAATTTATAGAAATTCTTCTAATATATAGTGAAATTGTTCTTAATGACTCGATAGCAAGTGGTGTTTCTGCTATGATATTGCAAGATTTAAGTATTTCACAGTCTATATCACTTCTTAGCTTATATAATAAAGTTAAAATCTTTATTGTGTAAAATCTTCGTTGAGAACCAGAGATAAGTAGATTTGAAATAATATTAGAAAAAAGTGTCTCAATACTAATATTATTGAAATTAAGAGATCTTTTTATTTTAGATTTTTTATGATAATATAGGATAATATACCTTGTCAATATATCTTCAAAAACTGCAGAAATACCTTGAAGAAATAATATATTCTCAGAAAATCGTTTACTTGACTCTGAAATATAATCAAAAAGATTTATAAGGTCATTATCTTCAAGACCATCACATTTACTAGAAGAAAGTTCTGTTAATAAAATTTGAATAATAGGTACTAAATCAGAGTTAAATTCAAGAGCTAAATATTTAATGACAAGTTTATATAAAATTTGATTAAGTGATTTAGAATTAAAATCAATACAAGATAATAGTTTTAATCGTTTCCATATTGATATTTTATTTTCAATGAATATTTCAAGGGATGCTTTGTTAGTTAATTCCTCGAAATATTCTAATATATTCTGAAATATATAATGATTAGGCGAAAATTTAATTTTCTTCCTTTCTGAAACATAAGGATTTTCGGGCAAATATATTAATATCTGTGAGTTGCTGATAGAGAGTAATAGATAAATAGCGTCGTCTTGATGAGTTTCCCAAATTCTGCATATAAAACTATTTTTATAAGGAAATGTATATATTAACTAAAGATTAATACTTATAAAAATATCCTAGTAAAAAGGTATTAAATCTATTTGCAGGCATAATGAGTGCTAGTTTGAAAAACATCTTAAATGTATTAATCTATGATTAATTAGAATAATCCACAATGAAAAAAATAAAACATCAGATAATTCAATATAATCCATAATTTTTTTATTATACGATATAATTGTATTTATATCTGATAGACATAATATGTTCGTAATTAATTTAATCGCTATATATGAATATTTATTTTGTATTGATAAAATTGGTAAAATATGATCTATAATAATTTTCCAATCTTAAAATGTTAAAATATATTTTAAATAACTTAAATATATACCTCTAACTTTTTTTCCGTTTTGAGCTGATATGCAAATTAATAATAAAGAATAGTAATCATCTAGATTATGAAATTTCGGTTTTTTTAAATTAACTAACAATGTTTCTATAATAGGAAAAAATGTTACTTCATTAGTGTGATTAATCAAAGAAATAATAGTATTTTTCAAAATTAAATACATTATTTCTTCTAATCATAAATTAGCTAGATATATATTAAGGATAATGCATACGAAAATCATGCTCCCAAAGTTCTATTAAATGATTTATTGTTTTTGTTGCCTTCGAATTCAATGTGTTTTTTATGTTCTTAAATGACAATGTTTAAATTAAATAAAATTTTAACATTTAAACAAACCTTGCATGATTCTGAAATTATTAATGATATGCCTTGAAGATATAAATTAGAAAAATTTTTTTGTAAATCAGTTATGAATAATTTTATAAGTAATATTTTTTGTGCGTCATCAATTCGTTTAAATAAAAATGCAATAGCTTCCGCCGTATAACGAATAATATATAACTTTGTTGTATTTTTATGAAGTAATTTTGATAATATTTGAAAAATATCTTCAAAATTGTTTAGTACAATTTTTAACGAATATTTAAATAAATATGCAATACTATTAAATGTCCACTATTATTGTTAATCTTATATTTGCCTATAATTAAAAAAATACTTCAATAACATTCACATCCTCATTTATTAAAATAGACTCCAAAATTTCAAATGTCTTAATGATAAATGGATTAAATTCTTCTTTTAAATCTCTAGAAAAAGAAACTAGTAATCTTATAAATTAAAAATATAAATTTCTTAAATAAATGGTTCTTACGATAGAAAAGGTTCAAGAGAAAATGAATTTCCTTTGGAAATGTAGCTTGTTATTATATCAAATATTTTTTGTTTATGGTATAAAATTTGAGGAAGCGACTGAGAAAAAATACAGATTTCACTAGAAAAAGTAATAAAATCAGGAGATAAATTTAACTCTTTCCATTCTTCTAACGAACTTCCGAAATAAGATGAATTCTATTACAATATAAGTAAAATTTCAGTGTCAAATATTAGTTTACTATGTCATTATCAACATAATAATTGATTTTATTTGAAATATTTATATGAAGATTATCGAGAATTTCTGTAAATGATTTAAACTGATGATATTAAACATTAAATATTAGTATTATTTTTAGATTTACGGTGTATTTTTTGTCTTTTTTATCTTGTGATATTACATTTTTTTTCATTTATATTTTTTAAATATGAAATTATCGAAATTTTTAATTTTATAAAAAAATCTAATATTTGATATGATATACATAATATCTAAAAGTGATATTTTTAAATTAACTTATTAAATATTTTTATAAATGATCGTATTAAGGTCTTTAAAATTATTATAATATTATTTAGATTTATTTTTATATGAATTAATAAATATATTACAAGTAATTATCTGTAATATTATATGAATTTTATTTTTTATAACTTTTATAGCTTATTTTTGAGATTATATACATAGATATTATGTTTTATTTTTTATTTAAGAATAAAGTTAAATATTTACAAGTTAATTTTATATGTAATAAAAAATAAGATACTTAAAATAAAAATTTGTTTTAATATATAAAATTTTTTTTTATATTGTATATTTAACCTTTTAAAAATTCCATTTAGAGTAGTTAAAAAATATGTTATTGATATAAATTAATAGTACAAATAAAACTAAATGTATATTAGTGTTTTAACTGACTATATATTAGTGGGAGATTTGTTTCCTGTAATAGTTTTTTACAATTGAGTAAATAAGTAATTATAATTACATTTGAATTGATAAATTTATAGAAAGTTTATATTTTTTTATTATATTTTGAAAAATAATTTATTATTTTTAATCATTTGATTAAAATTTTTTATTAAAATATTTGGCAATGCTTGTTTTAAGGCTTTAAATAAAATGTTATATTATTTCTTTAAGATATTTGTGAAGCTTTATATAAAAATATAAATAAGATAGATTTTAAACTTTTAGTTGATAAATAATCTATGACTAATATTAAATCTGAAAGTATGATTACTTTATTATTTTGAATTTATCAGTAATTCTATCTATTTTTTTTGGACAAGTCTTCATTTGGTTGATAAAAATTAGTACATTAATATTATATATTTTTATAAGTTTTGTTTTTATTTTAATTTATGAAAAGTATTTGGATTTTTTAATTTTTAAATAAATTTTTTGACTTAAACAAACAGTAAATATCCTTGAGGAAATTATATATTTCTAGTTGTTTTAAATATTTAATCAGAAGATGTTATTCATAGGTTGGTTTTTATAATTCATTAAGAAAATTTTGTGATTAACTAGAGTTTAAATTTTAAAAATTAATGTCATTCTTAATAGATTAATTTTTTTAATTTATTTGTTTGCTGATTTTTTTATATTTCTTCTATGAAAATTACTATTTTCATTTAATCTTAATGATGTTTAGTGAATTTTGTAAAATTAATTATTTTTTATACATAATTAAGTTTAAAAAAATGCATAATTTACTATTTGTTATAATAAAATAAATGTTTTAAATTGTTATTAAATTTATATATTATTAAAATTATCATCTAAATTGTTTTAACAAGTCAATTAAAATATATATTAAATGATAAAAATATTATGTTTTATCAATTTTTATTTGCATTTTAAATTTAATTGTAAGAATATATTAAAATAATTATTCTATAATAGCAATTATACTTTAGAAATTTTATATTTTATTATTTTTAGTAATAAATTTATTATAATTTAAATATATTTTTGTTGGTTTTTTGTTATTTTTATTTTGTGTAAAAAATTATTGAACGTTAAATATTTAACTTATCAAATAAATATATTTAGTCTATGAAGAATATTTTTATTTTTTATTAAATATATTTTAGATTTTGCTAAAATTTTGTATATTATTAATTTTAAATTATTTTTTATTTTATAATAAAATTATTTATATAGCAATTTTCAATAATATTTCTATATAAATGTTGGTTTTTTATAAATTAATAATAGTTTTATTTATAAAAATATGTAAATAATCTTTTAATAATTATATATTTTCATAATTTTAAAAATTTAATATTATTTGTATTTAAAATGAAGGATCCATATAGTAGAGCTAGCATATTTTAATAGTAGTTTATTTTATATTTATTATATAAAATATGGAATTTCCATAAATCTATAATATATTTATTTTTTAATATTAGACTTGTAACATTTAATGTTGTGTTAATATTAGACAAGTTTTTGCGCCTTAAATGAATTCGAATATTTGAAAATGCTTTTAATAACATAAATAAAATATATAATATAATTAAGACTGACTTTTTTTACTAAAAGGAAATAATACAAAAGTAATTTTATATATAAAATATTCGCAATAATTGAAAGAAGTGAATTTATATACAACTTTTTCGGATAATCTAAAGTTATAGCTTAATTAGATCTATTAATTTTTCATTAGGACCTCTCCAATTTTGAGGAAAAAAGTCAATTAAATTATCGAAAACTTCCATTCTCAGTGTATGTATAAGATTTTTCATTTCTGTATCATCAGTGCATTTTTCTAGTATTTTTAAATATATATTTAAAACGTTTTTTAAACCAACCAGATTTTGGTGTCAATAGTTCGTTTGTTATAAGAGAGTAAAAAGAATAAATTTCCTCCTTATTCGAATGATCAAGCAAAGCAGAAAGTTCATTATGTAAATATGATAACGCATCTATTGAGGATAATACATGACAAAGCTCCCTAAATCTATAGTAAATTAGTTTTATTTAATTAATAATTTCAAAAAAATGCCTTTGTTTCCGTAAATATAGTTTTAATCGTCTTGATATTTCTGAAATGGTCGGTCTATAACGTATAAATATAAAAATTTTTGCAATTGATGTATATACTTCTGTAGTTCAAGAGTCCAGAAATCTCCCAACCTTTCTTTTGGAAAATCTTTATTTCTTGGATTACCGCCATATCTAAGGCAATTACTAATTATATAGATAATAATAGTATTTGTATTACAAAAAGTGTAATTCAGATTCTTCGTCATACACAAGTTGATGAGCATATCTATATTCCTGTTATATTAAAGTATTCATATTCTAATAATATACCTAGGACAAGGTCTATTTTTTCCTTTTGAAAAATTATTATTGTCGTTTTGATTAATTTTGTTCCAAACACCATGTTTTATATTATTTCCGTAATAATAAACCCAAGCAGAGCTCCTGACAATTTCCTGATTACTCTTCTTATCCTTCATTAAACCGCTTAATACTATTATTTCCTTTTTTTTCGGATTCAATGTAGCTCTTTGTGTAAATCCTCCTTCAGGGCCTCCGTCATTAGAATAATCCATACTTATAACGGAAATTTTGTCTTTATCTATATCGTAAAGATAAAAATCTGAAAGGTATTCTTTACAACGTTGTCCTGCAAAAATAAAAAGGCATCTCAGAATAGGTTCAAAGAGCATTGAATGACCAATTCTTGATCTTAAAGTGTTTATTGTAGGCGCTAATGAATTGCTATCTTTTCTAAATAATCATAATCTTTAGTTAAAAATCCTAGAAAATATAATATACCTAAGAACTTTCCATGTACGATTTGGTATAGAATAACAAAAGAAGTCGCTAAGTTTCTAGATATATTTTTAGAATAAACTATATCGTATTGTTTTTATACATTTACAGATGGATCTAATGTGACTATTCTTCCTCCAAAAACATATATAATTTGATTACTTTCATCTATACACATTGCATGATCGAAAATCAAAGAAGGTCCATTATCATTCTGTCACATGTTATATTTTATAATATATATAAGCCAATTATTTACTGCTGTATTTTTTGAAATGCATTCCCATTTTTCAGTTTTTAGATCCCATGTCCAGAAATCTGCTATACATATATTTTCTTGATTTCTTTGATTTGCTTCAATAAATTTCCCAAGAACATAGATCTTCTTTTCTTTTGAATCGAAACATATTTTATGACAGGATCTAGGGGATGGGCCATTTTGTCTTTCTAATTAATAGAAGTTTAGAAATTAGATTCATACTAACAATGATGTATCATCAGATATTTTCTTCCATCTATTGTATTTTATAGAATATGACCAGAAGTCCGATAAATCCTTATAGCCATCCCATCCTCCAAAAAGATATATTGTTCTTTCCTGTAAATAATTGGTAAATTATTATAATTTTTATTTTGCTATACTTCTTGATCAATGCACATCTGGTGACCTCCTCTTACGCCTGGAATACTATATAAATCTGACTGAACATTTTCAACCCATAATGAATTATAACACTGTTTTGATATATATTCATTAAATGCATTCATTGACTGCGCTTCGTCAATTAAAAGTTCTGCTTTGGAAAAATTTCCATCGATCACTAATGTTTGGTAAAGATTATTCAGAAACGGATGTTCTAGTTCTATTGGAAGCAAAGATGACAATAATTTAAATGTTTTTATAGAGTTTCGGCGACGAAGGTGCGTAAGAGTAAGTTTTAAAGCATATGTTTCTAGCTTTGATTCTAGGTTATTCATAGCATTTGTCACTATTTTTCTGCATGTCCACCCATGTATTTTTACATGCCATATCTAAAAATATAGATATATTAGACTTTGTTTTTATTAACATAAATCATACAGAAAAGTTAAAGTCTGTACCCCAAACTGCTAGAGGAACAATTTTTAAAAAGAGAATAGGGACATGTGTGTTATGTTTCTTGCTTTTCCTTAACAATTGAAAAGATTCTGATTCAACGTCATTTGTAAGTCCTAATCATAAGTCTGACAAAAAAAAGAGTATTCAAATATAAAATTTACCAGTATGTAAAACAAGAAGCATGCTATTTCTAGATGGTCCCCCATATACTTTTAACCTATGTAGTCATTAGCAGCAGGTAATTTAGTTAATATTAATTTTTATTACTCTTTGAGATTGCAAACATGAGGTTTATAATATTTCCCAAAAGTAATTTCTTTTACCTAAATTAAGTATTATATAGATAATTCCCCTTCATTCTTATACTACAATAGATAATTGATTCAATTTTATTATAATATACTGCTCATTTGTGCTATTAGTGGAACTCCATCTTGATCCTTGATCTTCAGGACTATCGACTAAAATATGAGATGGGTGATATGTAGAACTATATGATGACCATGAATCTATGCTATATAGGATATCATGGCTTTTTTCATTGGCTAATTCCTTTTCTATAGGATCTTGATCGTCTTCATAAGAGTTATTCGTGGCCATTTGTATATTTTTATCGGCAACGCTTAATGATTCTCGATTAATATATAAGTATATAATTGTAATTATAAGAATAAACAATTTTAAAATTATATACATTATAAAAATATATTTTTAGATAGGAAAATCATGAGTTTAGTGAAGATGAAAGTTTTGGATGTCCAGATTTTTAGTTTGAATTAACTTTAATATTTTTGTTGGATTTTTTTTGGGATTCTTGTTTTCCTTCATTTGGATAAGCAAGATGAAGTATTTCTTGAAATTCTTTATTTTCTGCAAATTCTAATCGAATAGACTCTAAAAGAAAATTAAGTGAATCGCTAATTCCAATTTTGAGATCTTGAGGAGATAACTGTATATTTTAATATGATCCCTTTTTTATATTTATTTTACCTTTCTGTTTACATATTCCAATTCTAAAAGCTCATAAGAATTGTATGAAACTGGGCCTCCCCATTTTTCTTCTCGATTGATTGTTAGTGCTGGAATTCCTTTAAGTGCCAGAACAGGAAAAATTACATGTTTTGCTAATTCTAAAAGACCATTATTTTCTACAGCTGCTTCTACGCATAATGCTTTATTTATTTTTTTTTTAACAGTTTCTGCATCATCCAAAATATCAATTTTGTTATTTTCGTTTCCTGAAGCAGACATTTTTCTAGAACATCTTGAGTAAATCACTTATAATAATACTTTTTTACCCTCCTGCAAGACCGGGTATCATTGGACTCATAAGATGTATTCTTTTTTTTAATCCAAGCATTGGAAGATATTTTTCAGCAAATGTAAAAATTTTCCTTTGATCAACTCCCCCAAATTGAGCATCACTATCTAAATATTCTTCATCTAAAGCTTGCATTCCTGGATATAGAAGTCCTGAAAGTAGACTGTTTTCTACTTGTTTTACAACTTCTGCTCCTGCTTTTTTTGCATCATGTTCTGTAACAATAGTACAAAGACGAAAATTGTCCATACAATACTTAGAACTTAGTTGATAAGACGATCCAAGAACAAATCTGAGCTTTTCAGTTGAAACGCCAATTGATTTAAGAATAGCTTTAATAATAAATTCATAATATTTGGCCCTATATTTTACAATATCAATAGGTGCTTTAAGATTATCTAAAAATGCATGAATATCTTTTTTACTAGAGTTACTAGGTATGTAGAATATATAAACATTACCTGCAAAAAGAATAGTAACCTTGAAATTCATAAACATTACATTCATATATACTAATTTTCTCTTACTTCAACTTCTGCTTTTAAAAAGTCTGCAATTTTGATCATAGGAACAAAGTATCCTAAACGTATTATAAATCATACATACATTATAAAAAATATATACCACAATGAGGTTTTCCTGTAGGTGAAGTGCCCCTAACTCAATTGTTAACTCGTTTTTCATACTGTTTTATTTAAATACCAATAAAGTTTTAAATCCCTCTCCTCTAAAATCTTTCTAAGTCTTTCTGCACCAAGAACTTCTTGAAGTCCACGTGTAATAAGTTCATATTTTTTATTAACTATTTCACTTGTAAATCCCATAATGCTTAAAAGTTCTTTTAAAAATGTATATTATAAAACGTTGTTTTTACAGTACAACTTCTCTAAATATTAACTGTATAAATCCTATCCTTATAAGTTACACTGTTTTTTTATTAAGATTTAGGTTTTTTACGTTTAAATCTCTTAACAGCTCGTTAACATTTTATTTATAATACTAAAGAATTTATATTTGAATTTTTTAGGAAGAATTAATATGCTTTATTTTTAAGTTTTTATATGCCTTTTGCTCAGGTAAGAATGTTTTATGTGAATATTTTTGTTTAAGAAGAAAAAGTTAGTTATTGGTCCACCAGGAAGTGGAAAAACAACATATTGTCATGGTATGTATTTATTCCTTTCAGCACTTGGAAGAAAATCTTCTGTTGTGAATCTTGATCCTGCAAATGACCACGTTTTATATCCTTGTGCTTTGGATATACGAGATCTGATATCAGTGAATGAGATTATGGAAAAAACAGGACTAGGACCTAATGGAGCAGTAATTTATGCATTGGAAACTTTAGAAAATAACTTTAGTTGGTTAAAGGAAGGGCTTGATTGTTTAGGAGGTTATATATTAGAAAAAGGAGGAAATGATTTATAAAAATAGATGATTATATTCTTTTTGATTGTCCAGGTCAGGTGGAACTTTTTACTCATCATGGTTCTTTACGAAAGATTGTTTCTAAATTAGAGAAAATGAAGTATAGGGTAGTATATATTTTTCTTATATTTATATATCTTATTTTTGTAGTTGGCAGTAGTACATCTTGTGGATGCACATTATTGCACTGATCCTTCGAAATATATAAGTGTTCTTATGTTGAGTTTACGTAGTATGTTGCAGATGGATCTTCCTCATGTGAATGTTTTAAGTAAGATTGATTTAATAGGGATGTATGGTGAATTATGTGCGTATTTTTATTATATGTATATTTTTTGATTTGACTTAAATTAAGTATTTAACTTGGATTTTTATACTGAAGTTCAAGATTTGTCTCATTTATTACCTTATTTAGAAAATGATTCAAGGTTATCATCGTTTACTTCTTTGAACGCAGCTATTTGTGATATGATTGAAAGTTTTGGTTTAGTGGCATTTGAAACTTTATGTATAGAAGTATATGTTTTAATAATTATTTCTTATATTTGACTAACGATTTTTAGGATAAAATCTCTATGACAAAATTGTTGTCAGTAATAGATAAAGCTAATGGATATGTTTATGGTACTTCAGAAGCTGCTCATGATAGTCTTTTTAGTGTAGCAGGTAAAGTTATTTATGTCTGATTGAATTATTTATAATTATATTAGTGCGACAAGGATGGAATTATGAGGGAAATGTACATGATGTTCAAGAACGTTGGATTACAAATAAAAAACAGTATGATGAACATGAAGTCAAGCAATGGAAGGAAGAAGCAGCTTCTATTAATATTCATGAAAGAATATAATAATAATTAGGTATATTTACTAAAATTTTTATTTGTATATAGTTTTGAGAAAAATGCATAATATACAAGTGATGATTTAATACAATGTTAATAGCTTTGTGATCAATTATCTTTCCAAAATTTAGACTGATATATATTTAAATGTTATATAATAAAATGTATTTTGTTATGATTAATAAAAAATATTATGTTTTTGTATTCTGTTTTTTTGCTATTCCTATTTTTGGATTATTTAATTCTTCAAGATCCTTATGTTTATAATAATGTGGGGAAACTTCGATAAGCCACTCTGGTTTGATTTCCATTACTTGACGACAATATTCTTTACTAGTTAAAACTAATTCATAATATAAGATCCATCTAGTTTAATTAATATTTAATAAATACATAATTAGTTAAAATACTTTGGATTAACACCAAACAGGACACTATTGGGATGTATATAAACAGTTTGTCCTGATTTTATTGTTCTATATGAATCGCTAGATTTTTGCAATCTTGCAACATTATAGAAAAATCCTGCAGTAATAGACTTTTGAATAGCTATAATATCCGATGATGTTGTACCAGTAACAATTTCAACACGCTCACACTATAAAAAGATAAATTAATTATTTTTAATAAAATATATTTGCTTACTAAACGGACCAATTGGTCCCTAACATCCCTAACACGTGTGAGAGATTTATGCTGAAGGAAATTTTCCCTTGCCCATTGATATGAAAAATTTGTATCAACCCACTGATAAGTTACTAAAGAAATTTTTAAGAGAATGTGTTTTACCTCGTTCCAAATATTTAATAATGTCAAATGATCACCACCAGGTCTTGTAAAATTTTGTCTAGCTTTATCTGCATGGAATTTTTTGTCTTTAGGACGATAAAATATTGAAGAGCTTTCTCCTAGCATACTAACTATAGAAAGAACTTCTTCAACACAACCATATTTGTTACTAGATAAAATTGCTTTTGCTAGCATTGGATCTGTAGAAATATTAGATATTATTTATTATTGTGTAAATTTACTTGTTGGAAATTCTGCCATTTGACGCCCAACTTTTGTAAGTTCTCCTTTGTCATTTAGTGCACCAAGTGCATAAAGCTGTTCTAGTGCACGGCTCAATGTTTTAACAGGAGGAGGATCCATAAAATCAAACCCAATAAGATCATTAATACCAAGAGACTTTAACAAAAGAACTACGTTTCCTAAATTGACCCGTTGAATTTCTGGAGTAGTATTTTCGTCTAATTCATTATGATATGCCCACCATGTGTATAATCTAAAACATTTGCCAGGACCTACTCGTCCTGCACGTCCACTGCGCTGGTTTGCAGATGCACGAGAACATGGTGTAACAACTAATGATTCCATACCCGTTCGAGGATTATAGATATTTTCCTTAACAAAACCAGGATCTATGACATAAACAATTCCGTCTATAGTAATAGATGTTTCTGCAATGTTTGTAGCTAAAACAACTTTTCGAGCGCCTTCTGGAGTAGGTTCAAAAATTTTAGATTGCAATTCTGATGGTAAATTTGCGTAAATAGGTGCAATAACCATTTCTTTGATCTTGTTACCAAGCTTGCGACATGTTTCTTGAAGATTTTCAGCTGCTGCTTCTATTTCTTCTTGACCTGTAAGAAAAACTAATATGTCACCTTTTCCTTGTGTAGTGTGGATTTGAAAAATAGTCGTTATAGCAGCATGAAGATAATTTGCCTCTGGGTGTTGTGTATAGTGTAAATCAACAGGGTACCGACGCCCAGGAATATTAAAAATCGGAGCGTCATCAAAATATGCTGCAAATTTTTGAGCATCCATTGTAGCAGATGATATAAGAAGCTTTAACTCGGGCCTAAAGCGTGCTATATCTTTTACTAGACCAAATAATATATCAGTATGTAAAGTTCGCTCATGAGCCTCGTCAATCATTAATGCTGAATAATCACTAAGATCCGGTGTTGTAAGAAATTCTCGTAAAAGCATTCCATCTGTCATGTATTTTATAACAGTTTTATCGCTTGTACAATCTTCAAATCTTATAGAATATCCTACTTCATTCCCTGTTTTTACTCCCATTTCTTCCGCTACACGAGTTGCTACTGACATTGCTGCTACCCTACGTGGTTGAGTACATCCAATTTTTTGATTATTTTTAGTATATCCAGCTTCGTGAAGGTACTGTGGAATCTGAGTTGTTTTACCTGATCCTGTTTCGCCGACAATAATAAGAACCTGGTAATTGGAAATAGCACTTAAAAGTTCTTCTTTAAAAGCATATATAGGCAAGTTTTTTCTTGTTTCTTGAATAGAATTTGCTAAAAGATTTAAAAAAACAAATAATAAAATTAAAGTGATACCTTTTTCTTCAGCCTCTCTAATCCTCTCTTCCATCATTCTCTGTTCTTTGCTTGTAAAGGCTCCATCAAGTGTGTTTCTTAAAACAAAATCTATTTTCTGACTATCATCAAAAACATATTCAAATTCTTCCACAGATTCTATTTTATTTAGAGTTCCTACTTTTGCAGTAGCTTTATTTGTTTGATATTCTTCCCATTGATCTTGTTCTGTAATGAATTTTTCTTCTTGACGTTGATTATCTTGATAGCGTTTATATAAAGCTTCTTCTTTTTTTTTCTTATCAATTTTCCCTTTTTCTGTAATATAATCCTCCGGCATGACATAACCATCATATGCCTCGTCTATATTTGCTCTTTGCTTTGCTAGACGTAAAACCTCTTTTTTATAATTCATTTCTTCTATTTCTCTCCTTGTTAACTTAACACCATCAAAAATTATTTCCATTTCAGATACTTCTTTTTCAAGAAGAGCTATTTGTTGTTTCTCCCGAAGATTTAGATATTGTTGCCTACTTCTTTCTCTCAATTGAGGCAAAGCAGCATTTCTGGCTTCAATATCATTCGCTAATTTTCGACGTGCTAGTGCATCTGCTGATGCTTTTGAGGATCTATCCTCAACTATTTTTCTCGTATTTTCTTTATCCTTAGCTTTTAGTCTTTCTGAAAATTCATCTCTTTCTTTGAGATCTCTTATTCTCTCATCTTCTACTTTCTGAAGTTCATCTTCATACTCTTCAATATCTTTAGCTATATTCCGACTATCTTCCTGTTTTTTCTTTTTCCTCCTTCTTTCTTCTTGATCTTCTTCATCACTTATCCATCTATCTTCATTTTTTTGCTTTTTGATATTTTTTTTATGATTACTAGTGCTTTTTTCTTTTTTAAGAGCAACATTAATTTTTAATTCTTCTTCTTCTTCTTCTTTCCCTTCTTCTTCTTCAAGAATGAGTTTAAATGATGCGTTTTTTGCATTTAAAGCAGAAAGATTTGCCTCTTTATTAGAAATGCTTGTATCTTTTGTCTGAGTTAGTTTAGTAATAATAATACAATAGAATTTTATTTGCGTACTTTAGCCTTTGATTTCTTCGGAACACGTATGAATAATTCATCTGCAAAATCCTTTACTTCTGAATTGTCTGGAAAACCAAGATAACATAGTTTTGTAAAAAGAGAATTTGGACTTGGAGAAATAGATGCTAACTTTTATTAAAAATATTTAATAGAAAAATTATATACCCTGACTAATAATATAATCTATTACAGATACTTCTGACATCTTCAGAAGCTTAATAGCTTTATTAGATTTAGTGATTACAACTTTAGAATAAAATTCACCTTCATTGTTTTATCTGATATCCATGATTGTAAAGACATTTTATTTTAGAAATTACTATTAAATGAAAATTTCATAGGCAGTAATATCCCTGTTTTTGTATTATTCTTAAATTTATCTTATTATTTAATGAAATTAGTAATTTTAACATCTTTAATTTTAGAGTTCGAAAATATAATTTAAATATAAAATTATTAGGTAAATTAAAATGGTTAATTGCTAATTGAACTATTATTATATAATGTTATTTTATTTCAATATAATAGATTATTTTGCGTTTTTTATTTATTCTGTAAACAAATATATCTTAAATTTTAAATTATTTAGAAAAATTTGTGAAGAATCTTGTTAATTTCGGGTTTATTGGATTAAGGTAGTAAAGAGTATTGAATAATATTGATATATTTTTTTATAATTTTGAGTGTAAATTGTTATTTCAAGTTTTTAAAAATATAGTTATAATTGTTAATTTGATTGTAATTTTTGATTTATAGATTTAGAACGTTTTTTTAAAGTCTTCTTGATATTCCGTTACATTTTGTATAAATAATGATTTGAATTAGTTATTAATTTTATTATTATTATTTAGGTGTATTATAAACCTGAAAATTTAATGAAACTTAGTTAACTCAAATTCTTTTATATAAGATTGTGATGATATATGTATGAGATATTGCAAGATTCGTAAGATTCGTTAAAATGTTATAAAAGCGTCATTATGGTATATTCTTATAATGTAGTCCATCCTCCTTTAATTATAAATAATATATTTGCTACATAAATAATCATTTACCTGTATCTAAAATAGATTCCAACTTTCTAGCGACAAAGCTAGGTATACTGTGTTGAAGAAATAGATTTCTAACTCCTAAATCATATCTATGTTGATACAAATGGAGGGGCCTTCCACGTCTATGAAGATTAGAAATCAAACAATAAATTTTCTCTTTACCTTAATTCAAAGTCTGTTTCACCATGTGCGTCAAGATAAGGTGCATTTGTGAAACTTCCATTTGAACCATGTATAAACAGGATTGCGCATTCTTTTATCAAAAAATATATTCCAATGCTTTTTCCGCATCTAAAAAATAATAAGTTTGTGTTATTAGTTTAATTTATCCTACTTTTGCATGTGAATATTACATTCTCCTAAATCTCCTTCTGAACAACAAGTTGATCGACTACAAATAAATAAACCACAAAAAAGACATAAGGCAGGTGCTTGTGGAACAGTATTGCATTTAAGGCATTTAATTTCCATACTTTTTTCAAGAAGAATTTGAAGATGCTTTGGAAGAGCTAAAAGTTCAAAAATTGCTGGATGATTAAGTGATAACATAGGAACATATTGTGAAGTATTATCGGAAGTTAAGTTATTGAAATGTGTAATCCAACCAAAAATAAGATCTTGTTGAATAAGGTCTAGCTTAGTAGTTCCCTGAGAAATAGAATAAATTTCCTCTAAAGTTGGAAGATTCATGAGTTTTTTAAGTCTTGAAAGTTCGTCATTTATAGAGTTATCATAATAGCTTTGTGCTTCTGTTTCTGATGGAAATTCTATCCCAAATTTACTAAACATCAATATTGCTACTTTTCTCATAAATATTAAAACATATTTTCGGATCAAAAACTTATATCTTAATAAAACAATATCGTCATATTCTATATTTTCCGTGCCATTCAACTTTGTAGAACAAAGAAAGACAAATTTTTTAAAATTTATTAGAGAGTCCTCAATATTATTAGGCCAGTCTCCATTAGATCTTATAATTTGAGAATGCTGTAATAAAGTAATTGTAATTTTTGTCACTTCTGCCAAATAACATATTCTTATCAAATGATATGCATCAAAAGCCATCGTAGGTAATATGCAAAAGCTGGAATCTACTAACACAGTAAAAATATCTTCTGAGAGTATAGGCTTAAGCCCGGTGATTTTTATTTGGCTATTCTTATAAATAGGATGGCCATAAAATAATTGATATATTCTAGTTTTTGCTTTTTTTGAAAATTCTTTTTGAATATTATTTTGAAATTTTGAGGTAAGTCCTATTGTAATATAAGTCATAATTGTTTCGGAGATTATTCGAAGTAAAATCTTAGATTGTTCTGGTATTCCATGAACAAGAGTAGACCCAACGATTTCATCTAATATTGAGGCTTTTCCCCTCTGTATTGTTTCTATGCCTGATATAGTATAATTAAACAAATGCCATAATTTATCAAGACCAAAGACATTAGATTCGGGATGTTTTGAAGAGGTGTTTCCAAAATTCATGCTTAATATTTCTGATAATAATCTATACATAATTTGCAATATATCCATTTCATTATTGAAACTTGATTGTATTGAAAAAGGTAAAGGAATACGCAAACCAGTTTCAGAAAGCAAAGGGTCAACGAAATTATCTATTGAATGATTTCGATGTGGTGAAAGTATTGAAGTTTTTAGTAAATTGGCTATAGGCTTCACAACAGAATCGAAAGTATATGCTTGCATAGTTTGTACTATATTTATATACATTTCTTTCTGAGAAAAATCGTTAAAAAGATCTTCATTTAAAAGTGTTTCTGAAAGTTCTGTTTTTTTTTGAGGCGATTGTGTGTTTTTGCTATTTTCATTTTTAACATTTGAGTAAAAAGGTATTAAAGATAATTCAAGAGAGTTTAAAATCCATTCTTCATATGATGTCTCTGGTTTGCAAATTCCGGGATATACTTTTTTGCTTTCTTTCCATATTATTGGGAAAAAAACATTTCCCATACTTTTACATAAAGGGCATAGATACTCTTTTTTAGAAATGTCTTCAGGAGAATTTCTTGATAGCTGGCCATGAATTCTTAATGCAAGAGAATTATAAAATCTCTTAAAACATGTAGCATGCATAAGGTGACCACAACTTGTTGCAAATAATCCATGGGATACATAATCTGGGGGGAACCCTTTAGCTATATCGTAGTCTTCATCAGTTTCATGTTTTTTATGAATTTCAAAGGTATTATGTTTTTTTTTGCTCTTTGAAGCAAACCCAAAAGGTCGTATATGATCCAAATTTTTGTCTAAATCATGTGGAAGATCAATAACATCTTGTATGAAATTAAAATCATTCAAAGGAGTCATACGAAGCAATGGACTTTGATGAATCATTCCTAATGAGCCATATAAACGGAGCCCGTTAGTTTCTTCTTGGCATACAATACATATCCCAGACGGAAATTGCCAGCTCTTTGTATCAGTGATATCCTGGTTTATATCATTATTAATCATTAAAATTTCCGGAATGTCAAAATCTGAATTTTTTTCTAGGAAACTTTGCTGCTGTTGTTGAAATTGTGCCATAATTCTTGCATGACGTTCTTTTGCTTCTTTTTTTCTTTTTTCAAACTCCAATGACATTTTTTTTAATAAAACTGATGAATTCTGATCATCTTTAGTAAATTCCCTTTCTTCTGAGTCTACAGAAGAAACGTTAAATGTCTTTATTATGTATAAAAGCGTATGAATTTTATCATGAATAAATTGCAAATCATTTTGTTTTATCATGTCTGAAATAAGACATATTAATGTAGTATTTGTTTTGTTAGAATCTTGGAAAAATGGAATTTTGCTAAAATCTGAATTAGCGAACTTCATGAAACTGTAGGATTTGTTTTCGTGTGGTTGAATAATTTCCTGTTTAACTGAAAGAATGCAAAGATAGATAGCCTTATCAATAAGTGATTCCGGTTTTTGATCTTGATGCATACTATAGAATAGACATAAATAAATCAATTTTACGAATGTTAATGTTTGAGTAAAAAGACCTAGTCCTTTAAATGGGCCATCTTTAATTGGTTGAATTTTTAAATTTGATATTCTGTTTTTTTCATAGCAAAGACCTTTTTCATTTGCTCTTTTCTTAAGAATAGAGTTTGCTTCTTCTTGTTGATTCCAAGAATAATGATAATAATATGGATCTATAAGATCAAAATATTGATCTTTTAAAGTATATGTTCCCTGATCATGAAGACCTCTTGGTGGACGATAAATGCATAATGAAGTAAGGATGTCATTGAAGTTTTCATTATTATATAAATTCTCCGGAATTTTTTTAATAATTTCAGAATATGATAAAGGGCCAAAGCATAAAACTTGAGAAAGCTCCTTTTTTGTACTTTCGTCAATGTCTTGTGATAGTGTTATAGATCTTTCTGAAAACAAGGTAATAAATAAGGATAATAGGGATTCAAACATAAAAAAATATTGTGATTTGTCATAATAAGGATGTTGTTCTGCATCTTTGAGTGACCAAACCGGTTCATCAGTAATTATATCATATTGTCGAATAATTTGAAGGACGGAATCATCTAAATCTTCTCCACAGACAGTAAGAAGTTGTATCCATTTAATATCTTTATCGTATGTGTGATCTCGTAAAGAAAGATCATGATAATGATGTGCCTTTATATCTCTTTATTTCAGTATTCTACATAATAAAAGTAACTTACTTGTCCCTTAATTGATATTCCATTTCTAACCCAAAGTCCTGCACGAATTTGATCTATCCATGTACAAACAGAAAGAGGATAATCGCCTATTAATCTAATAAGATGCTTTTTTACTATATTTTCGCTAGCTTCAGGATTAACTTCTTGAAATTTTGATGATAAGAGTTCTGAAATAGTAGAATAACCATTTTCTAATAAATTTGATTCGTTTAGAATGACAGTATTTTCAAGTAAAGACATAAGAAGCCAGTGAAGAGGATGATGGAAACTAACAGGATCTCTAGAGACATTAAAAGTATTTCCAGAATGGAATGCAATTTCATTATTAAGATAATGAATAGAAATAGGTTCATATGTAGGAAAACGTTCTGTTTCGTACCCTAAAGACCATTGCAGAAGATATTTCATAACTATCCCTATTGCATTGCATAGTTCTGATGCAGATGCATTTTTATAAGATGCGGAAAATGTTTTTATTAGTTTCGTTACTTCTATAGTTAAATGAAAAGCTGAAATCCAACTTTCAGATTCGTATTCTACATGAGCTCCTGTAACTCTATGACAAGGATTCATTCCTTGAAATAGTCTTAATAAATCTATGAATTGCAATAAATATTTAGGATTGATTGGGATTATTCTTTGAACTGATTTTGTATTAAGAATATATCTAATATCCCCAAATATTTGACAATATCCTCTTTTAGGAAGATTTGATGTATTAGAAATAAGTACTTCTTTAGAGTTAATAGTATTAGATATATCAATATGACCATGTGTGAGAAAAGCATATATGAATCTATGAAGGCTAGTTAAAAAGTCATAAGATTGTACAAGTTTTAAAGATATATCTGGTACAGTGAAAAGCTGAACAGAAAAGTTTATTATTGACTGATCTGGCTCCGTTTCATTAAATATATATTCTTCAGCCAAAGAATTATATAAATAGGAAAAACGAATAGCTACGTAAATCATTTGTAAGTAATGTATGTATATATATATGGTATCTCTTACCCAAAGAATGTTTGTAGTAAGATGTCATGATCATTGTACTAATATATAATTCTCTTAGTGTAGATCTGATTTGTTTCCAAAGCTTTATATCAAAAGACAATAATTTATCAATTCTTAGTTCACGCTTATTTTCTGTAGATATATCTTCTACATCAGATGATTTCGTAATAATCCAGTGCGATTCTGGTACAATTTCATAAGATGGTTGTGAAAGATACTTTTGAGCCATTGACTTTAAAATTAGTTGATTTAAATTATCATTGCTACCTACTGAAATATTTCCTCTTTCTATAGTTACAAACATGTTTTTTTCCGTTTCGTTATCTTTGCTTTTCAATTCCTTAGTTAGTTGATTATCATAAGAATTGTTATTGGTATGGCTATTAAAAAAAAAATTCATTGATGCACATGTTCCTTTTTTCCATGGTTCGAAAAATAGTTCGCAAATAGTATTTCGTATGTAATTTTCACTATCTTTTATTTGATATAAAGACATATCTTTAAGCCATTCAATAATTGCTCCACACATATTTTCCCGAAATGTGTCTCTAGCACATCGTATTGTAGCTTTTAATTTTATCTGTCCAATTTTTTCGCATATATTTTGCACTAAATCCAGGTTATCTGAAACAATAATGGTATCTCTTCCTTTTTTATCAACTCTATTTGCTACACGTTTACCAAATTCTTCGTCTCTATGTGTTACTCGAGATACATGATCTATAACTTCTTGAAAGGTATGGTTTTCATCATTCCATAAAATAACAGACCAAATTGCATATGGATAATCTTCTGTTCCGTATCTATCTGGATACAATCTTGACGATCTTTCTAAGTATTTTAGACTTTGAAGATCCAATAGGTGAGGTTTTTCAGGAGAACATGATAATACATCTAAGACATAATCCAGTGCCCTTTCAATCGTCATTTTAATATAAATCAACAGTTCTTTTGGAATGTTTGATAATTCTGAATTTTTATCTATTAGTTTGTTATAATTAGATTTCTTTTGAGAATGCAATGAACAATTAATATCCACTTTCCATGCGCTATTTATTTGTAAAATATTTCAGTAAAAAAAACATAGTTAAGAAATTACTCTGGATCTCCACAGTCGCAACATCCACCCCCTCTAGTATTTAAACTCATCATAGTATCATGACCTTCATGATCAGATAATCTAAAACATTTTGAACAAAGAACACATGTATCATCTAATGCACAGTTTCTAGTTCATTATTAATAATTTATATTGATAATTAAGATTTTTCACCTGCAATGATAAAGGGCTTCTTCTTTTTTAAAAACATGCCCACATGGTCCTTTATACTGACTAGCTCCAGAAGACATTTCTCCGTCTTCCATATTCTCTCTACTTATCCTTATAATTTTGTCTTCGTCATCTGAATCATCTTCAATCATAGATGTAACTGTTTTTTGAAATATTTAAGAATTGTAATAAATAATTAGAATACATACATTTGTAAAAATATGGATCTTTTTGAAAAGTAGGATTCTTCTCTATTGTTGGTATCCCTTTTTTAAAGAAAAATGTTTCTAAGCATTGATTATAACCTGTCATGGAACAAAATAGTTCATATAAAAGGGAATTTTTGGCTCGTAGATTCCATGTATATCTAAATATATATGGCATTTCCAACAAAAACATAGAAAGGCGCTTTTCCGGCGACATCTTTTCAGGCGGGTTTTTATTCATTGCTCCGCATGTTTTTAAAAGCGTAGATTTTCTGTTAATAAGTGTCGATTAAACTTAAATGAAAAAAAATCGAAGTATATGTGTTTTAAGAATATGTATATATATTGCATCTCTTCCAATAATAATAGACAGTACCTTTGGCTGTAATAAGATAATAGACTCTAAACTTTAGAAAATAAGCTTTATGCTTTAAAAAAATATGATATTATAAAAAATAAAAATGTTACAAAAAAATAAACACAAAAATAAATCTACTATAATCCAGATGCTTCCTTCAAATGCTGCGATTTTAAAAGTTTTATTATTTTTTGTAGAATATATTTTTATTATAGAATCATTTGATAAAAAAATATAGCTAGTAGTACTGGAAGAATTTATTATAAATTATTCCTCAGTGTAGAGATTACGAATATCTTTCCATTGTTTCTATGCTTTTTAGAAAAATAGTGTAAAAAAGCATACTTACTCCCCGATTAGCATAATCCCATATGGCTTGTGTTCCTTGGTCAAAGACTCTACAAATATTTAATAAAACGTAAAAGCTATTAGAAAAATATGCATACTAACATTTTGAAAACAAATGTTGATGCGAATATTGTTCCTATTAAAATTGAATTTTTACGAAAAATTAATTGATAAATTCGAGTTGAGATCTATAGATTTATATTAGTTTTTTTTATTAATAATTAAATGCAAATTCATGCGAGTATATCTTTACCATCTTATTTATTAATTTTATATTTTCCGTCTATGAAGTATTCAATCATAGATTTTATGGTTTTAAAAATTGTTTTCAAGTTTTCGATTCCGTTTAGCAATGTTGAAAATTGATATTCAAAAAAATGATAAAAGAGCTTCTGGAATTAAGAATCTTCAAGGTAAACTTGTTGGATTTTTGAATTATATTATGGGTTTCTAAATGAAATGTGTTATATTTAGATGGTAGTTCAATAATTCCATCATCTGTACGCCCCGATGGATCAATTAGAAGCGAAAGGAAAGTTCGGCCAGGATATGTTCCTCCTGAAGATATATCTGTATATAGAACAGTGCATCATAATGAATCTTCTCAGAAAATGAGTCGTAATGGAGTTGAGACTCATGGATATCGTTGTCCTGGAGCAATGGCTTCTTCTAATTTAAGCAAGAGTGCAAAAAAAAGGGCGAAAAGAAAGGAGAATTTCCAGAATTCAAAGAATAGTACTGAATCTTCTGAATCAAAAACTAAGGACAGTCACTCGGTTATTGATGATATAGAAAAGCGCATGAGAAATTTCAAGATTAAAGAATCACAAAAATCTGAAACATCTTCTAAGAACGAAAATGAATCTCGACAATTAAACCAAAAAGAAAAAAATGATGAATAAAAGAATTAATATTTTATGAGGCTTGAATGTATTATAGGTTTAGTATTAGATGTATATATAATTAGTATTTAAGGAATTTTTTAATTATTTTATTTAGACCATTATATCTACGTTGTAATTTTCCAAATTCTAAGCTTTTTGTGAATAAGGATTGGCACTTGCATTGGTATTTATTTTGATTGATACTAGTTGATATCGATATATAATTGAGATTTATAATATAGATATGTTTTACATTAATCGTTAAAACTTTGAAATTATCCACTTTTAAAAAAGATATGTTTTATTTATTTGTTTTGAAGTCTTAAGTAGTATTATTCACTTTTAATTTTCTCTGTTGAATTTTATATTTTGAATTGTATTTAAGACTTTTTTTGAAAGTTTTTTTTGAATTTTTTAAATTTTAAAAAATATGTTTATTTAAATGTTGGTTCTTGATTTTTTTGCTAAGTCTTAGAGATTTTTTTTGAGAAATGAAATTACAAAGTATTGGTTTTTGTTAAATATCTAAATCTAATAAATTCAATATAGCATAGGTTTTGTGCTGTAGTATTGAGTTTTCTGAGAATAGCTATGTTTTATTTTATACAGATAGTGCTATTTGAAAAATAATAAAAGGACTATTTTTTAAAAATGACCTATTGTTTTTCATTGGGGAAAATGGCGAGTCATTTGTGACGTTATATTACTACTAGTACAAATTAACAATTTTATGTAGCTAATGGTATTGATTTTATGTTTTAATAGTTTTAATTTAGAATTTATAACGATATATGATATTAATAGGTGTCGTGCGAATTGTTTTATAGATGATGTGTATTTTATAAAAATTAATGTGTTTGAATTGATTTCTCCTATTTTTTAAGGCTAGCAACTTTTTAAACTCGATAAGTTTTTCTAAAATTCTTATGTATAAATGCATTATGATACAATTTCTTTTTTTATATAGAGATGGAACAGTATTTTAGCGTAACTCAATATCAATATTGAAATGAATTTGAAAAAAATATTATATTAGAAATTATCAATTAACGCATAAGATTAGCTTTGTAATCAATTAAAGTGTTATTCTATTTAAATATGTTTTTATATGTTTGAATTTTTTTAAGTTTATCTTTTAATTGTTATGAAATTATAATTTATACTTTGTGTTTTATTGTTATTTATTTAATTTACTAACATTTTTTATATTAAAACAATATAAAATTGTATAATATATATTTATAACGAAGTATCGTTAAGGAATATCATGGTTTTTGGATACCATTGATGTATTTTTGCTAAGTTTTTATTAATAATATATATTTATTGAATCTTATATATGTCCTATATATTTTAATGTTATTTAGAAAATATATTGTATTTCTTATTTCCTTTTTGTTTTAAATAATATTTTAAATATTCTAATTTTATATGAGATTTCTGTATATTTTATAAATAGTTCAGTTCGAGTAGAAAATATTATGATGTTTCAAGGTTATAGTTTATTTTTTTATAAAAATATTATATTTTGTGAATATATGAGTTTTATATTAAACATTAAGGAAATGCATATATATTGAACTGTTTTTAATTATATATAGCTTAATACAATAATTAATTAGTAATATATTCCTATTTTATATATTCACTACTGAAAAAAATTATATACTGTTAACTTTATTATGTTTAAATTTTAATATTTTCGAATAAATATCATTTCAATGAGTTTTTTATGATGTATTTTCGAGTAGTTCGAGTTATTGATTCATTTTAGAACTTAGGTTTTTAACCTCTAGTGACGTTTATTTTATCGGATTTTTTAAGACTTGAAATAAATACTTTATTAATTGTTTCTATATTTGAGGTTTTTGTTTAGGGTTTTTTAGTTTTAAACATGGCTCCTTCTTCTAAAAAAGCAAAGAAGGTTTCAGAATCTCTTAACTCTCGTCTTGCTTTGGTAATGAAATCTGGAAAATGTGTTTTGGGTTATAAATCTACTTTAAAGACTTTACGCAGTGGAAAATGTAAGTTATTTTGCTTTTAGGACGTCTTTTTTCATTGTTGTTTTAGCAAAACTTGTAATTATATCAGGGAATTGCCCCCACTTGAGAAAATCGGAATTGGAATATTATGCTATGTTAGCAAAAACTAATGTTCATCATTACTCTGGCAATAAGTATTTGATTTTCTCTTTTTAAATTTATTTTTATTTTAATTAGTATTGAACTGGGTACTGCATGTGGGAAGTTTTTCCGTATTTCTACTTTAAGTATTACAGATCCTGGTGATTCAGATATTCTTACTTCGACTTTATAAATTATTGGTTTTATATATGAATATGTTTTTAATTGATTGTATATGATATTATTTGTATTATATATGATCTCTACATATAGAATAATTTATATACACATTTATTTGAATACAAAACTTTGTGTATTTTTCTTACTTCTTTATATTTACGCAATATTTATATGTAAACTGTATTGAATGTTATTCGGCCTAAATTTGATTTTTTTTTGATCCAATACTGATGTTTGAATTATATATTTTTGTTTAGTTAAATAATATGTTATAATTTGTAATAATACAAATTACGATTTGTATTATTATATTTTATAAATGGATAAATTATTATAAAAAAATGAATAAATTATTATAAAAAAATAAACAATACAATTAAGTTATTTATTTATTTTTGATTACTTTTGTTCTATATTGGTATTTTATGAAAAATTTATCTTCTTGTTCTTAAGATGAAATAAATTGTAATAAGTTTTAAGACATTCGTGTTTTTTTCATTTTTTTCAATCTGGAAATTCATTAATAAAAGTTATTTTAAAAAGGTTCATTAGAATTTTTGAAAAATTATGTTTTTTTGGATTTTTTTATAATTTAAAGCTTATTAAAAGTTCTGTAATTTAACAATTTGCAATATTTTGATTAATATCTATAATTTTAATAAATTATTTTATATTGTATAAAATTGTTACTTTTATTGATCTTTATTTCCAGATATTTAGATCTAAAATAATATTTATATTATTTTCTTAAAACGAATTGATATATAAAGATTAATATTTCATACAAATAATGTATCCTAATATAATGTTTATTAAAAAATGTTTTTTAATTTTTAAATGAGGATATTTGTTTAGATCTGAAATATAAAATATTAATTTAAATATATAGTAAAAATAAATTTTTATTTAATTTTATTATGTTATACTATTTAGAATTATAAAAAATGTTTAGAAAATATAAACTTTAAGAAATAGAATTTATGTTTTCTTTTTACTTAAATATTCTCTGTTAATTTTAAAATACGATTAATTTTAATTAAAATTGACAGTTATTTTTATAATATTTATATATTTTGCAAAGATCTTTTATTAAAAAAATATAAAACTTCATATCTATATTAGTAAAATAGTATAAATTATTATATCTATGAGATTATATTAATTTTATATTGAAATTTTTATAGTTTATGTTTAAATGCTTTAGTAATCCTATTTTAAAATCATTGCAAAACTTTGAAATGAGCCATGGCAATTGTTTTATTTTAAAATATATACAAAGATATTTAAATTATCATATATATGTTTAATATTATTTATTAGAAAAAATAGTAATATTCGGTTAAATTTATCCTAACTTTTGATTTTTTAATTATATTTATTTTATCTTTATTTCTAAAAAGGTAATAATATTTGATTGCATAAAGAATTATTCATTTGAATACTTTTGCACTTATGTATTGTTTTTATTAATAAATTCTATACAAAAATATAATACTTAAACTCAGTATGATATGAATTGTATCAAATTTTTATAAAATACAAATATTAGGTTTTACATAGATCCTGTTCAGTGTAATAATGTAATGATATTTTTGTTTTTAAATTTTTTTAGTGAAAATAGTTTATAACTATCCATTATGCGCAAAATTTGCAGTTTTTATTTGATATTATATTTTACGTACTTTTAAAGTTTTGCTGCACATGGCACAGCCACTTAATGCAAAAACAATGGCTGCCGGATGAAATTCAAAAAAGGAATTTTTGTAGATTACTCCAAAAGGAAGTTTTTCAAGAATCCAACCAGATCTAACCCACCAGCCCATTATAGCAACTATTGATAATGTAGTTGGAATTGGTGTGCCTTCGAAATATTTCAATTTTCCATATTTATCTTTTGGTAATGAATCGACTGAAATATTAAACCTGGCCAACCTAGAAATTCCGCAAAGTACAAAAAAAGAAAGAATTATACTGTCTATTAATGTTCGTATGCCTAAAGCAAATGCAAATACCGATGGTGCAATACCAAAAGATACCTAATAATTTTAATATGAAAAAAAACATATAGTTACTGACTAAATCAGCTAAACTATCGAGCTCTCTTCCTATAAAGTTTAGACATTTCTTTTTCGAATGTAAAATATATAGATATTTAACCTATTGGCGAGCTTTTTTTTCTCCATCTAGCTACTCTTCCATCTAAGAAATCAAAACATAATCTTTTATAATTAATATATTAATTTTTTATATAAATAAAAAACACCCTAATGGCATTAATGTCATGGATTTCCAGAGCCATGCAGTATCTAGTGGATCCCCAAGACAATATTTCATCGATGAAAATACGCTCATGATACCACAAAATCCTTTATAGTTATTAGTAATTAAAAGAAAAAAATAAGAAATTGAACCATTTAGTTCCGTAATAAAGTCTGCTAGTTGGAGAGTCCTAGATTAAATATTAGATATGAAATTATTTATAATTGATCTAACCGAATCAGTGAAAAGTGTCTGTCATTATAAATATTAGTAGAAGACTTTTTTTCTTAATTAACAATTTTAGAAGCGTAGATTTAAATCAATATAATTAATCCGTTACCTGTTTTATTTAATATAGATGTTTTGTTTTTAGGCATTTTTCAGTGATTTTTATAAATTCATATATCGATATATAGAACACAAGCTATGTAAATGAAATAAGCTTTTAACTAAAATAGCAATATAAATGGGAATATATAAAGACTACGTAATATATATTATGGAAAAAGTGCAAAATCTCTTTATCAAATTAATATTTTTCGGTTAGATTTTTTATTTTAAAGCTATTTTTTTAAAGCTTTTTTAGCGATTGCGTTTAAAATTTCTTTGGCCAGCTTTAGGTTTTCTAAAAGATCCAAAATTCTTTCGATTGCCCATTGAGGATCTATCTTTCTTATTGAATTTTTGATGAAACCTGTTACCTTTGGCTTGATTACCAGCTTGAAACATACCATGTTTTTTTTTTGCAATGGCAGGTTTAGGCTGTGATAAAAATCGCTCAAGACTATTATGATATTAGAAATTTTAAAGTCTATAAAATACATATATTACGGCAAAAGTTTATCGTTTTCAATATATACTTTGTCTCCTGGATTAAATGAAGTCGCAACAATGCCTTCCTGTGGTTTAACAGTAAAATATACCTGATTTATTGGTCCAAGAACTTCATCAACTTTTCCAATCAAACACTATTACTATTAGTGTTAAAAATATAAGTTATGTAATCAATTAAAACATTATTTTTAAGATATATGGTGGCATTAAAGTACGGTATTTTTGTATGTGTTGATGCATATAACATTTCTCCCTCGCAAGCATGTACAAATGAACCAATTTCTGATGAAAAAAATGTAAATTATAAATTTTATTAATACTTTATTTTCTTACCAACATTACCTGCATTGGATGAAGTATTATTATATCCTTTCCATTTATTTCTGTTTTGATTATGACTCTGAAAATGTTGTTTGCTCATTAAAAAGTTTTTGAATTTTTAGAGATCGTGGAATGTTTTGAAATAACTTCAAGATTTAACAATAAGAGTGCTTGAATAAAATATAAAAATATGCACAAAGATAACACAGTTGATTGATTTTTTATAGGATATAATGAAACCCAAAGAGAGCTACAGTACCACTATTCTTATTAAAATCATAAATTTATAATTATCGAAAGATTCTCTCGATAATTATAAATTTAGTGTGTCCCGTGCTAATTTTAGTGTTAAATGTGTCCCTTAATTCGTATATTTTAGGATATTTTATCAACTACATTAAATCATGATAATTTATAATTCACTTTTGATAAAAACAAAAATTTTGATTTTCTATATGTTTTCTTAGAATAGTATTATTTTAGAATTTTAAGGATAAATGAGAAATTAGGGAAAATTTAGAGAAATGAATGAAAAATGTTTAGTTGAGGTTTATATATTTTGAAAAAAAATAAAGATTTACCTAAGGTTATTCAGAAACCGGCATATATAGATCATCGGCTTTCTATGTTTGAAAAGCTTTATGATGAATATAAAAGAGAAATACAGGGTATGTTGGTATTTTTCACAGAGAAAATGAATTGTATTAATAAATGACTGATTTTGATGAATAGATAAAGAGCATTTAGAAATTGATATCACTCTTCCAGATGGCAATTCACTGAAAGGAACGAGCTGGAAAACTACTCCTTTGGAAATTTCTAAAAGAATATCTAAAAGTTTATCTGAAAAGGTTATAATTGCTCAGGTTAATGATGTTTTGTGGGATTTGGAGAGACCATTTGAAAAATCATCTACTTTAAAGTTATTGGATTTTAATACTCCTGAGGGTTTTATTTTAAAAAAAGAAGTATATTAATTGCTTAATTTTAAATAGGAAAAAAAGTGTTTTGGCATTCTAGTGCGCATATTCTTGGTGAGGCTGCGGAAAGATACTATGGTTGTCATCTTTGTATCGGGCCACCAACTGATGATGGATTTTTTTATGAAATGGCAATTCCTAATAGGTATTTTAATAAATGATTGTTATTTCATTTTTTATATTTTTAGAACGGTGCTTAAGCAAGATTATTCTGATCTGGAAAATTTGATTAAGTTTATTATATGTGAAAAACAACCGTTTCAACGTTTAATTGTAACGAAAGAGAATTTATTAGAAATGTTTAAACATAATAATTATAAACAAGCAATTATATCGTCAAAAGTCCCTGATGGTGAATCCTCTACTGTTTATCGATGTGGCACTCTTGTGGATTTTTGTATGGGACCTCACGTACCTCATACTGGGAAAATAAAAGTATTAAGTATATTAAAGGTTGGTTTTTTTATATTTTTTTGACTTAAAAAAACATCTTATCAGAATTCATCTTCATATTTTATGGGTCATGTTACAAAAGATTCGTTGCAAAGAATTTATGGTATAAGTTTTCCTGATAATAAGCAAATGTTAGACTATATGAATTTTCTTACCGATGCTGAAAAGAGAGATCATAGAAGAATCGGAAGGGTAGTTTATTTTATTATTATGAATTATATTTTAATAAAATTAAAGGAACAAGAGCTTTTTTTTTTCCATGAGCTCAGTCCTGGTAGTTGTTTCTTTTTACCTTATGGAACTCGTATATACAATCGATTATTAGAATTCATGAAATCTGAGTATAGAAAACGGGGATTTAATGAAGTTATAACACCAAATATTTATAATTCAAAACTTTGGAAAATTTCTGGACATTGGCAAAATTATTCTGAAAATATGTTTTCATTTGATGTTGAAAAGGAACAATATGCTTTAAAGCCAATGAATTGCCCTGGTCATTGTCTTATGTTTGCAATGCATAATAGAAGTTATCGTGATCTTCCTTTAAGATATGCTGATTTTGGTGTTCTTCATAGAAATGAGTTTTCTGGAGCTTTGGCTGGATTAATGCGTGTTCGAAGGTTTCAACAGGATGATGCACATATTTTTTGTACTTCTGATCAAGTTGAGTTGAAATATTTTGTTAGAATAAATATCTTATTTATTAGGTTAAAGAAGAAATTGTGAATTGTTTTGAATTCCTAAAATATGTATATGAAGTATTCGGTTTTTCTTTTAGGTTAAAACTCTCTACTCGTCCAGAAAAATTTATTGGTGATATTGAAACATGGAATCTGGCAGAAAAAAGTTTAGAATCTGCTTTAAATGATTTTGGATTGCCATGGGAGATAAATCCAGGTTAATATTATACCTATATATATGTATAGTTTTTGTTATATTGATATAATATTATAGGCGACGGTGCATTTTATGGACCAAAGGTTGTATTTTTTAAAAAAGAAGAGCCAATTTAATTATTAAAGGTTGATATTGAGATTTCTGATGCTTTAAGGAGGCTTTATCAATGTGCTACAATTCAGCTTGATTTTTTCTTGCCAGAATGTTTTAACTTAGAGTATCGTATAGCTTGTGATGAAAAAGAAAAAACCATTTATGCAAGGCCTGTGATAATACATCGTGCTATACTTGGAAGTATTGAAAGAATGATTGCTATTTTGATTGAACATTATGGTGGAAAATGGTAATATGCTCTTTTTTTTTAATATTTTCCTAATTTTAGGCCATTTTGGCTTTCTCCTCGCCAAATAATGATTATACCTATTTCAAAGGCATTTAAGGATTATTCAAAATATGTATATGATAAACTTCATGATAATGGATTCTACGTTGATATAGATTTGAGTGATAATACTTTAAATAAGATGATTAGAAATGCTCAAATAACTCAATATAATTTTATATTCGGTATTATATAGTTTTTTGGGATTTTAAATATTTATTGATAATATAGTTATTGGGCAAGAAGAATTAGATTCAAATACAGTGATGGTGCGAAATCGAGATAATCAATCAAAACAAATTCGAATTTTGCTTGATGATGTTATAATTAAACTTAGATATCTTCAGCTTTATAGGAAGAATGATAATAGTTTATAGAATAATTATCAAACAGTTATAAAAATATATTTATTTTTTTTAAAATATACTATATATACTTATTTTTTTTTAAAGTATATATATATTTTAAAGTATACTATATATTATTATTAAAGTATACTATATATATTAAAGTATACTATATATATTAAAGTATACTATATATATATATATTATTTTTAAGGTGTATATATATATTATTTTTAAATATATATATATATATTAAAGTATATATATTTCGATATTTTCGACCTTTAAAAGATTACTCAAAAAAAAAAGTTTAACTGCGGCTTTTTTTAAAATAATTGAGATGGGTTTTTCAGAGACAGCGGTTCTTAGAAGTGAGCCCGAGAGTAATCAAGAAAACCTCCCGGATATGTCTCTTGCTTTAAAAGAAAATTTGTCAAGAGATGCTCATTATAACAATTTAGATTCTATATTTTCATCTTCTTTTTCAAGGAGTCTTGATCCTACGAAAAATCTTGCTTCTCGTTTTAGTTGTAAGATTTATGATATGTCTTTCAATTTTTTTTATTGTTAATTAGCATGGAAAATTTTGTTAAAAGAGCTTATTATTTACTTTAAGGCAGTTATTAATATTGAAGAAGTTAAGGCAAATGAGTTTAGGAAGTTGGGAAATATACTTAGTGTGAGTTTTTTAATATTCTTTATATATTTTAAAAGGTTTGAATAGGTTCATGCAGATAAAAGCACTTTTCGAGATGGTGGAATTCAAGATGTTGAAAAAGTCTTTTGTGATTGGAATCGGAAATATTCTACTCATTTGTCTACAATACCAAATAGTGTAAACCAGGAAATCATTTCCAAGTTAGAGAAACTTAGAGCAATGTTGACTCTACGTGTTAAAGATATTTTGAAAATGTCTTCTCAGTTCCGCAATAATTTAGGTAAGGAAGCAGATACCACTAAAAAGGTAATATTGAATTAACTGCTTAATGTTTTGAATTAAAAACATTAGTTGATGGAAGTTTATAAACAATCTTTGTTAAGATGGGAATCTACTCCTTATCAAATTACTTCTAGAACAGATCCATATATTATTAAGCTTTCATTGGAAAGACAAATTACACAAACTCTTTTTGAAGAGAATGCTTTACATCAAGCTTATTTAAATATAGAGAATTATTGTCGTAATATTGAAAAATCTGTAATAAATACTGTTCGAGAAGTTTTTGGTGAATATAAGAATATTCTTCAAAGAGAAGTCACATTTATATCTGATTTTAATAAAAACATTGTTACTACAGATGATTCTATTTCTCTTGATAGGGGATGGAATAATTTTCTTAGAGAAGGTAGTTTTATTTTAAAATTAATTTTATTTTATATTAATCTTTATTAGATTCTGTGTTCAAGCTTCTTATTGGTGATTGATATGATTCTAGTTTATTTTATTTTTTTATATATATTTTTTTTTTTTTTGAACTTTTTTTTTATGTAATTTCCGGTAAAAAATTTTTAATATATATATTTAACAGATAGCAATTTTTATGTTTGTTTAAATATTTCTGCTTCTGCAATGGCTGATATGGATTGTTCTTTTAATGATTCTGAGGATTCTGTTAATTTCCGCAAACTTAGGTATTTTTGTGATCTTTTATATGCTCAGAATCATCCCGCTGTTAAAGAGATACGTAGCGGCATTCTACAAAGGAGAAGTGGATTTTTCAGATCCTTCAGTAGCAGATTTTATGTACTTACTCCATCTGGATTTCTTCATGAATTCAAATCGGACAATTTTTCATTCTATCAAGCACCAAAAATGTCCTTATGTCTTCGTGAATGTGAAATTTGCGAACATAGTTCTGCTGATTCTCAGACATATAAATTTTCTTTGAAAGGATCTAAAAAGGGCAATTCTGATCGGTATGTTGTTGGCTATATGCGTTTGTAGAGATTTATAGACCTTATATTTTTATAGAAATCATAAAATTGTTTTTAGAACAAATACGTATGACGACATGATTGACTGGTATAATAATATAAAGAAATTCACGGGGCTATTCAATATGCCTGAAAATGAATTTAGGGATTATATTGTAGCCCTGCAAGTAGGGAATTCAGCGGATGATCAAGCAAGAGATGGTAATATATTGTTAATGTTCTGTTAAGGTTCTTACATTTTTAGCTCCAAATGATGCATCCGATAAGAAAGAGGAGTTTTCATTACCTTTGAAAGATGGTTTTAAAGATGATATTGATATTATGACATCATTATCTAGTGCTTTTTATGAGACATTGTCTTCGGAGCATAATGTAATTTGTTAATATAAACATGTAAATTTCGTTTAATGTTAAAAAGGGACGAGTGGATGATGCAGCAAATAAAGAAGATATAAATAAGGATCATGTCGTGAATGAAAATGGTGATTTAAACAAAGATAATGTAAATAGCGTTTTTTTTTAATTGATTTATCTGATATTTTATTTTAGTCTTCTGGTGAAAAGGTTTAATTGATTAACCTATATTTTTATGATTAAGAGTAAATAGAATGGGACGCTTGTTTGTTTGAACGGCGATATTACTTCTGGACAGGTTAGTTTTTTATGTAGACTTTAAAGATTTGTTCATGATTTTTTAGGAGAAATCTGAGAAGGATCTGTCAGCTGATACTTCTGCTTTATTGGATAATTCTGGCACATGTGCAAATGTTTCTATTGGCCTAAAAGACACGACATTTAAGTCTTTAAGGTTGTGTTTTTAATGTTTGAGGTGATATATTAAATTTAAAAAGTCGTTCTTCATATTCATCAACAAATGAATATTCATGTCCTATGGAGATTCAAAATTCTTCTCTCGATAACAAATCGAATTTAGGTGAATCGGCAGTTGATACTCAAAAGGTAGAGTAGCTATTTTTTTCTAAAGTAACATTATTAATGATTTAGGATTCTAATCAAAAAGATCAGTAATAATTAATATGGTTTATTTTTTCTTTTTTTTATGTTTCAATAGATCTTGTTCTTTATACCCAGTAGCTGAATTTCAGGCAAATAATAATCAAGAATCATGTTCATTGCCATCACTTGGTTTATCTCAGTCGTCTTTATTAGCAGCTACTCAATCTAAATTTAAGGAGGATTTGGGACGGACTACTCTTTCTAATTTGGATACAAGTGATGTTTCTGACAATAAATTGGATTCAGAGCAAGTGCAATCTCCGAAAAATATAGAATTAGCGAATAAAGAAGATAACATATCTGATGTTCCTTCTGATAAAGCATTAGATGGTGCAGAATCATGTTCTCGGAAGTCTTTGGTGAAACCGGAATATCAATCGCTTAGTGCTGTTTCCGGTTTGGAAGTTTTAGAGGAATCTGATCATAAAGAATTAAAAGAAAATCAGAAAGTATTAGATGATAATGATTATTCAACCAAGGAATTACATAAAAGCGATAAGGATGGGCTTAGTAAAAACGTATAGGGATATGAAAACTATAATATATAATATGGTAATCATATTTGAGATATTTTATGGTTTATCTTTTAATATTCCTCGAAATATAATGTTTAAGATTAAGATAAATTTATGAATTTTTTATATTCTTTGGGATTTATATATTGTAGATGATTTTGAATGATGAAATCTACTATTTTGATTATGATTATTTATCTTGTTATGTAATTACATGTGACTTTATTAAAATATCAAATTTTTATTTTAGAGAAAGTCATATGAAATATTTAGAATAGTATCATTATGATTTTTTTTATATGTTTTTGATTTTGGATTAGTATTTTTTATTGGAATAAATTTTAAAGATGAAATACTTTTGCAAATCTTACGCAAGAATTTATTTAATGCGATAGGATAGAAATATAAATTTAAAATATAATTTATATTTAAGATATAAAATATCTATAGAATTGCTGAATATAATTTAATAATTTCTATATAATATCAGCAATAATATCATTTAATAGCTTCCTTTATGTATTGAGTAGTTTTATTCGTTCTTGAGATAATTTTACAGGATAATCGATATCTACATTTGATTATCTGTCTCAAGTTTTGTTATTTCAGAATACTTAATAATTTCATTTTCAGGTATAGCTACTTCATTATAATTTTAGATTATCTTAAGAGGCAACTATTTTAAATACAAGTAAATATACTAGGATTTTATCTATACGTTTTAAAAGTTTGTTAATTTCAAATATGTTTTCCCCTATGCTTTTTTTGATATTTACTAACATGAATGTTTGATGTATTTTTGAGTAAGTTCTGATGACAGAATTTTTTGTTTTTTAAGTAAGTAGCTAAAAAAATTGGGTGATTTTAAAAATTCGCCATAAAATAGTCGACATGTGTAACTCTTAGAATAATTTGCAGTTTTTTTAAAGGGAATAAAAGGCCCGTAAGATGCTAATGAATTAAGAAAGTCTTTTTCCCTAAATGGTTTTAGTTTGGGTATGTCTTTAAATAAATTTCTTATAAATATTAGAATTCGAATATATATATTCAGTGTTAAAGACTTACATTTCAGTAGGCATTAATGTAAAAAGATATTTATCAATTGGTTTTAGAAAATTTTCTGTAAGTTTTGAAAAATGATATAAAACAAAGTTATTTAAAACAATATAATCTATTTAGATTATAAATTTTAGAATAAATAATAAAAATAAATCGCACCTCTTTTTGATAAAAGATTTATACGTATATTCGAAATTTTCTGTAAAAATTTTTTATCTTTAGCTACTGCTCTTTTATGTATAAATTTTAAAATAGGTGTAATAACTATAGAATACTGCTTAATATGATTTGTATTTGTTATAAGGCTTATGTTTTTGTTAATTTTTTTTATATTTTTGCAATTACATACTTGTTTTTCCTCATTAATATAATATTGCAAATATTTTCAAAGAATTTAATAATTACTGGATTCGTTACACCTAAGATAAAGCCTTTAGAAGATACCTAGACAAAGTAAAATAATATTAATGATGATGAAACAATATTACATGTGCTTGATCTAAAAATACAGTAAAATCATTTTCTTGAATAGTAAAATAAGGTCTATAAGAAAGTAAGGTAAAATATAAATTCTTATAAAATATAACCTATAGTCTCCAGAATATTTTATCTAGATTGTTATATTAGAACTTCACAAAAAAAAAAAGTAGTATACAGGTTTTATTAGATCCATTAATGCAAGAACCATTTCAGTAGATATATTTGGATTATCCGTAAGTAATAATAAAGGTTTCCCAAGAAGTATAACTTCCCATATTGTATACAAAGATACTATTGTACTATGGAAATATAAAAATAGAGGTGCTCCAAAAGTAAATGCAGATATCTAATAATTAGATTAATGCAAATTAAATATCTTAAGTAGCTTACATGTTTTTCTGTAGGAAACTTTCTTAAAGAATATATATTTTCTATATTTGAAGTTTCTATAGATGATGGGAAAATATCTGTATAGTAAATATCCCCCATAAAAGGAAGTTTTAGGATAAAATTTGATTTAAGGCTAGGCCATTTTGAAATGGTACGCACAGCAGTTTCCAAAACTGAAATATCATAATTTAAGAAATAGTTTTGACCTAATATAGATACTATTTTACTAAAAATACCCGGAAAAGAATTTACACTTAATAAAATAATAGATTTCTATATGTATTAAAAGTATATTGGCTTTTATAATAACAATATACCTGAAAATATCCCCTTTCTGCGGAAGTGTCTCTTTTTTGACTGAAAAAAACATAGCCATTTATGAAGTTTTCATTTGCATTAAAATTATAGATTTCTTTTTTTAAAGTATTTAAACGGATTCTGAACGAATAAACAATATCTGTTTCTTCTTTCAAGTTCGAATCAGGGAATGATGAAAAGCAGCTGAAATTTTATTAGTATATCTCTATTTGAAAAAAATAATTACATATTTTTTCTCTCTTCTTCTGAAAAATTAAAATACGGATAAATTATTTCTAGATCTTATACAAATTATTAGAAATGATATACCTAAATATTTAATAAACCTTGCCCAAGTTTAATATCTATATAATTAATACTATTAAAAGCTAAAAAAGGGAAGACAAGGTATACCAAAGTTTATTACCAGAAAACAAAGACACCATTCAAGAAATCTTTCTTGTCCCCTCTTATCTATTTCGATAGGCCATGATTTAAGGTCTCCCTCTTTCCGTTCAATATAAGGATTTTTTATTGATAACTCATCAGTTTTAGTTTCCATGAAAGCTAAAAAAATGGTTTTAAAAAGACTATTTATGTCTTTTTAAAGCGTTAAACAAAATTTTACTGTTATTCTAATATTAGCAATTGAATTTTTCTCAAATACTATTCAAAAGAATAATCATTTAAATTATTTTTTTATATTTTTGTAGTTCGAATGATTTTTATGATTGATTTTAATTGAAATTAAAAACAATTTGGAATTAAATAATTTAAATTCGTTGAGGACAATTTTGTATCTTGATATAGGATCATATTCTTTTAATGGGTTAAATATATTTAAAAATACGAATTGGTTAACAATTTTATAGATGATTCTATACTTCAAGGTCTTCAAAATCGTCTTTATGAAAAAAGAAAATCAGCTGCATATGAAGTTGAAAAGTATGTAATTTTTTTTCCTTAAATGGTTTTTAACTGCAAGGCTTACTCGTGAATGCCTTAATAATAATGATACAACAAGAATAAGACAAATAATTAATATTCTTTGTCAAGATTTTATTTATGGACCTTCACGTGTTGCTAACTCTATGTTTGGTGGGCTTATTGGTCTTGCTGCTGTTGTAATAGCTATTGGACAGGTTTATATTTGATATTATATGTTTATGTATTAAATATTTTAGGATGTAGCTGAATATTTAGAGGATATTGTTCCTCCCGTTTTGTCATGTTTTTCGGACCAAGAATATAGAGTTAGATATTATGCTTGTGAGAGTATGTATAATATTGCAAAAGTTGCAAAAGGAGAGATATTATTATATTTTAATGAAATTTTTGATGCTTTGTCCAAGGTAATAATATTGAAGAAATATAAAAAATATATATGTTTATTTTGACAGCTGTCTTCTGATACTGAGCCATCTGTGAAAAATGGTGCAGAACTTCTTGATCGTCTTATAAAAGATATAGTTTCTGAAAAGACTACGAGTTATACTTCTGTTTTACATTCATGTAGTCCAGTCAATTCCTCTAAGGCTTTAAATATTGACTCGTCTGCTCTACTTATTGTTGAAGAATCAAAAAAATCCATTGCATTTTCGTTGGAAAAATTTATACCAATGCTTTCTGAACGTATATATGTAATAAATCCTTTTACGAGGATGTTTTTAGTATCATGGATTACAGTCTGAAATCTTTGATTTTTTATAACTCTTTTGATTGTTAAAGGTTCTTGATTCGGTTCCTGATTTAGAACTTATTACATATTTGCCTAAATTCCTTGATGGATTAATTAAATTTTTAAGTGATTCTCACCAGGATGTTCGAAATGTTACTGATAGAGTTTTAATGGATTTTTTATCAGAAATAAAAAGAATTTCTAATATAAAAAAAGGACTTGTACTTAAAAAGGTTAAATCTGGTTCGTCTTTTCAAAGTTTAATAAATGGTGATGATACTCAAAATGATTTAATGTTTGTTGAAGATGGCAAATGGATTCCTGGTCAGGATGTATTTATTCATTATTCTAAAATTATTGAAATATTACTTCCTCATATTAGTTCTTCTGGTTAGTATCTTAGATTTTGTTTCTTTATTAATTTAAAAAGAAGAGTCAATACAGTTGATGGCGTTAAGATGGATTGCTGAATTTTTTAATATTTGTCCTGTCGATCTTTTAAAATTCATACCACGTCTTATATCACTTGTTCTTCCCGCATTATCTTTAGGGGGTGAATCTTCACGTCAAGCAGCTTTAGAGATTAATCAAAATCTATGTAATTTAGTATCAGAAGCATTGGAGAGTGATAAGATTACTATGAAACTAGCTCAGTTCCATTCATCTAAGCCATCTTCTAGTGAAGCTGATCTTTCTTTTTATAAAGCTATGAAAGATGATCAAAAAAATGATGTTTTTTCATCTTTTAGAGATATTTTGGATTATTCGAGTACTGTGAATGCGCTTACGTTGCAATTTTTAGATGAACATGAACAAACGCGAGTTGCTGCATTGAATTGGCTTATTATGTTACATAATTTGGCTCCTCAAAAGGTAGCGTTTATAAGTTATTTTTATTATTTTGATTTATTATAAAAGGTTCTTACTTTAGATGATGGTACATTTCCTTGTCTTTTAAAAATTCTTTCTGATCCTAGTGATGAGGTATGTTGGTTTATTTTTCAATATTTTTATACATGATTGTTTAGGTTATTATAAAGGATTTACAACTTCTTGCGCAAATCTCATCTGCTAATAAAGATGATTATTTTGATGCATTTATGGTTAATTTATTGTCACTTTTTAGTACTGATCGTCGGTTACTTGAAACTCGTGGAAGTTTAATTGTTCGTCAGTTATGTATTTATCTTAAATCAGAAAGAATATATTGTACATTAGCAGAAAATTTAGAAAAAGATGAAGTACGCAATCTTTTTATTGTTTTTAGTTTTTGAAATATATATTAGGATTTGGAATTTGCAAGTATTATGGTACAAAATCTAAATAATAATCTTATGACTTCACCAGAGTTATCTGACTTTCGAAAAAGACTTAAGAATTTGGAATTTAAGGTATTTTTATCTTATATATATATATATATATATATATATTATTTTTTTAGGATGGTCAATCTTTATTTGTAAGTTTATATCGTTGTTGGTGTCATAATGCTGTTGCTACATTTTCTCTATGTCTTTTAGCTCAAGCATATGAGCAAGCGGCTAATTTGCTTCAAATATTGTTAATATTCATTTGTTTTGTCTTAATTAGACTGATTAATTACGTAGTGCAGAGTTAGAAATGACCGTTAGCATGCTTGTACAAATTGATACATTGGTTCAACTTTTGGAATCTCCTGTTTTTACATGTAAATATAATATTTTTATATTTTTTTTAGATTTTAATCTTTTAGATCTTCGGCTTCAACTTTTAGAGCCAGACAAATATCCTTATCTTTATAAATGTCTTTATGGCTTGCTTATGTTACTTCCTCAATCTTCTGCGTTTTCTACATTGAAAAATCGTTTAAATAGTGTATCTTCTATAGGACTTTTTCAGTTTTTTTCTAAACAGTAAGTTTTTTTTTAGATACAATGATTATTGAATGTTTTCAAGGAACAATCCTGAAAAACATAAATTAAAAAATAAGGCAGATGAAATGAGATGGCCAGAATTATTGGAAAAATTTCGAAGTGTTCAAAATAAACATGAAAAGGCTAGACAGCAGAATAAAATTTTGATTTCTAAAACTTCTGGTAGTTTTTTAAAGATGGCACCTATATCCTACCTCTCGTGAAATGAGTTTTTCGATTTTATATTATTAATTTAACACAAAAATAAAAACATAATTTTATTAAAATATTGTTTTTTTAAAAAAAATTAGATTTTTTCTGGTTGATATATTAAAAGACATTGTATGTACTTATAATTAGAAATTAGTTTTTATGTTTATTAACTTTTTGTATTAAAAGTTTAATTTACAGATTATTAGTTTATAAATAATTACGAATAAGTATTTATAAAATTGTTATAGGTTTATTTAAATTACGCAATATTGAATTTTATAATTTAATTTTTAAATATATTTTCAAATACTAATATTTTAAAATATTTGTTAATTAGAATAAGTATTACATAATTTTAATTATATAATATAAAAATTTATAATATGTAATGATTTGATAAAATTAATTTATTATCATTAAAAATATTTAGAAATTAATAATTTTTTTATAATATTACATTTTTGCTAATATTCTAATTATTTAGTTAACTATTTATTTTTAGATCGTTGAAAATCTTAAGGAAATTATAGAAGTGAAATATTTAGGATGACTATAATAAAACTAAAATATTTTATTATGTAGAAGATATATTATTTATGTTTAATATTTTTAGATTTTTTTCATAAAAATCAATTTATTTCTTGAGACATCCATAATTTATTATAAAAACCTTGTTTTTTAATAAGCTCATCATGCGTTCCACTTTCTATAACTTTTTTATTTTTAAGAACAATAATGTTATCTGAAAATATTAATTGGATATATTATTTATCATATTTATTTACCGCTATCCATAATAGTACGGAGCTTGTGAGCTATAAATATACTAGTCTTGTTTTTTTTTAATATATTTTGGATATTATTTAGAAGCAATTTTTCATTTTCGTTATCTAAAGAAGATGTCTACAATATTAAATTTTATATTTAAAAAAACTATATTATTACCGCTTCATCAAAAAAGAATATAGGAGAATTTTTAAGAAGTAATCTTGATATTGCTAGTCTTTGTCTTTCTCCACCTTTTGATATTAATTTTTTTTAAGAAATAATATATTTAACCTGAAATCATTAATCCTCTCTCCCCAACTTTTGTATTATATTTATCCGGAAGTTTTTGAATTAGATCATGTATTTGAGTCGCTTTAGTTATTTCAATAACTTCGTCCATTGTTGCATCTATTTTTCCATATAAAATATTGTTTAAAATTGTATCATTAAAAAGCTTTTTTATGAGAAACAATACAAGTTACAATAAAAAACTTACAGGAGTATCTTGAGGTAAAACTCCAATATATTTTCTCAATGAACTAAGAGTAACATGACGAATATCTTGTCCATCAATTAAAATTCTTCCGCCTTGTATATCATAAAATCTAAAAAGTAGACGTAAAATAGTAGATTTTCTTTTGATGTTATGATTTATAAGTTTCAAAAATCAGTATCTTACCCACAGCCACTTGGGCCAACAAACGCTACTTTTTGTCCTGGATAAATAGTAAAGTTTAAATTTTCAAAAATTGGTCGCTCTGGTAAATATCCAAATGTAACGTTTTCAAATTTTATTTCTCCTTTATGAAATTCCAGGTCTTTTGCATTTTTATGATCCTAAATAGGATAATTAGACCATTATAAGCCCTATCTAATTCTATACTTTTATAGTAACTTCAATTTTTTGTAAATTAAACATTGTTTCCATATCTATTAATGATTGTTTTAGTTCTCTATATACAGTTCCAAGAAAGTTTAAAGGAACTGATAATTGAAAAACCAATTGGTTAATCATTACCAAGTCTCCAATACTAAGTTGCCCAGTGTATATTCCT